TCGGACCTTCGTTTTGTTCGTCAATGCATAATAAAACCTCATTCCGGTCGTCATGCATGTGAATAGCGCAAAGTACTTTTCACCCCCGAATCCGGCCACCGGGCCTGGGTGTAAGTCGAAGCTAAATTGAGCACCGGCCCCTCTGGGTCGTAAAGTGGGCTCCTCACGGGAGACCTGCCTCTTTGCCTTGCCTGTTGCGCAGACCTCGCATTCACACGTGGCCGGTCCTTCCATCTTGGTTAGGTGGCTAAGGGGTTCTGGCCCCGGATGTCCTAGCCGTCTGTGCCAAAGGTCTGCTTGCCCACCCATTGGTGGCTTAGGAGCCCTGCTTGTGACAAAGACGCTGTGTTGGGGCCGCTTTGAGAGGCTTGCAATAACGTATTGGTCTTCAATTTCTTGCAGGCTGACCAGAGTGCGCCCTGTGGGCTCATGGTAGAGTGTGCCGTTAACCTGGTTCCAATAGATCTTCGCAACAATCCCCTGACGAGCTGAGAACATACTTGTTGGCATCTCTGGGATGTAGGTATCTCTGAGAGGAGCATGAGAACCATATCAGAGAGGGGGTCTGCTATGCGTCACGAAATGGACCTCCCGGCACCATACTGGGAGTTTTCGAACGCAACAGCGGCCTATCTGAGAAATAGGGGAGTTGTCAAGGGAATGGCTAAAAGCCCATGGGAGTTATGGCGTGGAGAGAAGCCAAGATCAGGGCACTTGAGAGTGTTCGGATGTCCTGCCTGGGTATTTATTCCCAAAGAAAAGAGAACAAAGCTTCTGAAAAGAGCATGGCAAGAAGTTTTTGTTGGATACAAAGAGGAGACAGATAAAATCTATCTAGTCTGGAACCCAGCTGATAAGAAGGTCCAGTGCTGCAAGGATGTGGTATTTGCTAATATCAGAATATGTGGGAATGTAGCATAACCTTAAGGGAGGTGCGCACACACGCACACGTGACCCTTAGCGTCACGTGTATGGACCTCGGGGATCCGTGTATAAAGGGCACGTAGTGTGCCCCCTCATTCCCTTTCCTCCCTTCCTAGCTAGACATCTTGAATACAACCCATTGCGTTACTGCAGTACAGACCTCCCGACAGTATTGTATATACTGCAGTATACTACTTTATTGTCATATTATTAGCAACACTGCTCCTCCACCCAATTCAGAATCACACTCTTCACCATTCGAGACGCCACTGACTCTTCGGCAAATAAACAAAGTAGCTGATAAACTCGAGATCGTACTCCAAGAAGACGAAGACCTAAATCCCGAATTTTCTCGCGATGTGGGTCGCTTTATTCGGGGATCGCTATCTCTGGCTACCGAGCTTGTGCAGACCAAAAGAGATCTGGGAAGGACAAAAATGGCCGAACGCATCCAACAACAACGTAAGGCGATGAAGAACACGCAATTGCAATCAGGAGGGGTTTTGACGGTAGCCCAAGGGCGTGAAATGGTACAGAAAAGGGAGGAAGACCAAGTCGCTAAGGCTAGAAAGGTGGTTGAGGCAGCGGAGTTGAAGGCACGCAGCGCACGCAGGCGATGGTTTGAAGAGGCAGCAAAAAGGGCTCGTAAATGGAGGGCATCTGGAAGGCTGCCCAGGGTGGAAATATGCGATTCTGAGCGCGGAACGCGGTGGCTGAAGCGATTTTAGTAGGAGGAGTCGAAAATCTGGCTATTGCGGTGTACTGGCTACTGCGGTGTCCAGCACCAGCCTTTCTCGCGAAGATGAGAGCAAAAGTGGGCATAGAAGTGGATAAAGGGACTTTTCGAAGGTCGAGTATCATATGATCAGATGGTATGCGAGAATGCATGTGTTGATTGCTCTTCCCCCGGTTGCCCTTTTCCCGTCCAAACAGCCTCTTTGTATCCTCCAAGCTTCTCCCAAGTTGATATCCCGTTTTCAGGTATAGTATACATTCTATCAGAAAGAGGGCACTTCTTGCCACTTACTGAAGGCCACGTAAGTCATCTACGTCAGCAACATCAGCTCCATCTCCCCGATCAAATAGCTCTTCTAGCTATTAGATAGATAGTTCAGTCTCTCGAGGTCCCCGAGCCAGTAATAGTTATGCCGGACTCCTCAAAAGGTCCCCGTTCGAATAGGAGATCCTCCGGACCCCTCAGTGGTCTAGGAAGAAGAAAGAACAGTCTGCAGACTTCCCTTCTTACCTGGTTTCAAGCTGTATTACCTAGAGAGACCTAGAGACCTCAACTCGTTCGGACCTTCTTCTCGACAGCCTTTTTTTTTTTTTGTATTGCGCCCGGAGGGTTCCCCCATAGAGCCACTACGCTTACTACGCTAAGCTACGTACCTACTGTACCTGGTTCCATCGCACCTGAAGCCCCACGCTTCTTTTCATCTGTTTCCAGCCTCGTTCGCTGTGACATGACAGGCCTACTTGAAGGTCAGTTTCTCCAAGTGTTCAGCGTCCTACCTTCAGCGACTGAAGCGCGGTCTGCCAAGTTGAAGGCTGTTGTGTTAGTATGATTATCCCTTGATCAGTACATGGTCCCTCGTCGGTCCATACTGAAGCGTTTCGTTGCCAATGCGAACTGTATTGTCGCCCGTACAGCCCCCATATCGGGCTGCCACTTGTCGTCGTCTGACTCTTCCTTGCCTCCTAGTAGGGCTGATATTTGAAGATTTTGAAGTCGAATCGGCCTCGGGACCCTTGAATTGAATGAAGCGGAATCGGGTAAGGTCTTCAAATTCGACGAATCGAAAATCAGGAGTCTTTATTCAATTCGTTCATCAAATCTTGAATGAATGGCGATATGGTCGAAATATCCTGTGAAAAAAGGATCACCCCCTTCGCAGCTGCCAGCCAAGGGGCATGCAGGGGAGGAAAAGGCTAATGCCCAAAGCCACCCACCAAGGGCCTCCTTTTCTTTCGGAGCAGACACACACGTACACATCAAGAAACTATCGGGAAGAAAGACAGACATCAGATATGTGTCAATTGCAGCGCACCTGTAGGAGCGCGTTCCACTTTTGCCTGCATGGCGCAATGGTCTTCGCAACAGAAACGAGCTGCTTTGACCCCCATCATACCAATATATTCCACAATGCACTTTCCCCATTAGGCACGCCACAGAACCACCGTTCTGACAGGAGCAGGGGTTCGCCCCGCGCGGACATGGTAACTTCGAAATCGGCCGCCCTTGCGATGACATTCTGCGTATTTAAAATTATGTTGTGCGTGTTTCAGTTGGATTCCGTCGTCGACACTCCACTGGCAAAATCCCAGTGGGTTGGAAGTGGGGTAGTTGGCGTCCATATATGTTGGTATAACGACCCTAACAGTGAGTGATACGCCCGCCGTTTCAGCAATCTTGCCACCCTATACGGAGTATCAAAAATACCATGAAGCTCGTGAACAGTGACATTTTATAATGCACACCATTTAAATGTAGTGCCACTCGAATGTTCTGGATTTTCTCGTTCGGGTGATATAACTCTCGATATCTGTGCTTAACATTTGCTCCATAAATGCCACATCATCCTCAAGTCAATCAATAGATCAATCATTTTCTAGTTGCAAAACTACATTTCAAGCACATATTAAGCTCGGCAGTCCAAATTTTTAAAATAGAATACAGGACTTATACCGCTAAACAGCCTCCGGCAAGCTAATTCGAAAAACGCGTTCAGATCCCTCAACATCTCAATACTGCGCGAACAATTGGAGGTGACACGAATTGCGTCATCTCGCGATTAAGAGGCTGCTAGGGACTTATCTACTCCTCGAGCCCAATATGACTGCTACTTGTTTGTCCACACAAGCTAGCCCGATGAGAAAGTACCGAAACATCTGCATGATAAGGATATATTGTGCCAACCAGCTGGGTTTAGACGCGTTATTCGCGCTCAATTGACCACCTGTTAATCCTACTGCTGTCGGAAAGACACGGCCAGCCCATCCCACCTTTTTGCCTGCATTGAGCAACGGTCTTCGCGACAACTTCCACGACATTATTTTACGACGATCTCGCCTAATTCCTGCTTCGATATTTCCGACAGCGGCTTCGGGTCGACCCCCGAATCAACGCCCTGCCCGACGACCTATCCTACCCGTTCAACCTCGACTCCTTTATACTCTATTGTGGTTTATTTGGTATTCTCGAGCCCTTTAGCCAAGACCGGGTAAAACTTCATGACCCTCCAACCTCCCCCTCTTATTTAATCACTTTACGAGTGAATAGCTAATTATAACATGATACATAGTATGGCCCTTGCTGAATCGAAAACATCTGCCGCAGCAAGTTTCTTTGCTCCTAGGACCCGGCGTAAATTGCCAACGCAGAACTATGCCCGCATCGAACGTCCTCAATTCAACCCTCAGAATCCCGCGCGCGCGCCCTGATCCTAGCACAGCTCCGGCTCCTTCGTCCCCTCTTCCGACTGGCGAAGATACAATTGTCTGCGCCTCCGGGCCATCCTGACTGTGAGTCAGATGATGACATGCCCGACGCGGATACACCAGAGCCGCCATTGAACAGTACCGGTAGTCATATGACGCTCGCAGAGAAAGCCGGACTTATCAAGAAGTGGGCCGACAACAAACAGAAGCATGTTCGCAAGAAGAGAGACAAGAACAGCCACGTTTATTGGTACATGCAGAGGGAAGCCATTGACAGGAGCTTTTACTCGGAGTACAAGTATGGACCGAAGATATTCCAAGAGTTCCGGTGGACTTGTATAGAGTGCCTTCAAAATCCTTCTACTCTTCGGAAGATATTCCAGGTCCTTGAATCGAACCGCCGAGGGTTACCTCTGGCATGGGAGACCATTTAAAATCCCACAATATTACGAAGGAGTCTCACCACGCTCGAATCAATGGATACGGCCGCGCCATTGGCGGAGGAGATTATACAGAGGCAGATGCATGGAGCGGTCGACCCGGCAAAGAGCAAGGCTCACGGCAAAGGAGTCTATCCGCCAGTGGTTTGTAAAACACCGACAACCCTTCTCTGTTGTTGAGACCCTGCTTTCCAAGAGATGTTCTTGGCTCACAATACAACCTGTGTGTACAGGAGTCGTATAACTTTACGCAATCATATCTACACAGACTTTGTCGAACGCAGAGAGAAGCTGAAGATTGAGCTTGAGTACAATTGTGCTACCATCTCGCTCACCCTTGATATCTGGACAGCACCGAATCGGGTGCCTATTTTCGCCATTATTGCGCACTGGATTACGCCGGAGTTTGAGGAGAGAGAAGAGGTTATTGAGTTTATCGAGCTCAAAGGATCGCACACTGGCAAACAACTAGCTGAGATAGTTGAGAAGACACTTGAGGAGCTCAGGCTCAAGCCCAAGCTTCTCGCCATTACGGGAGACAACGCCGCCAACAACGGCACGCTCTGTCAGTCTCTGTACGATTCTCTCAAGATCAAGTTCGACGACAAGGTGAGCCCAATAGGAGGCCCGCATGCGCTTTCACGGCAGGAAGAGTTGGATCCGCTGTCTAGCTCACATTACCTCACTCATTTGCGAGGGCGTCCTGCAAGATCTCAAGGCAGGCACAGCGAAGGAAGCCAAGAAGATGCTGGATAAGTGGGACGAAGAGAATAAAAGCAACAACTACACCGTTCCGGGAGACTCTAGTCGAAGTGGGATTGCCAAAATCCGCCTCCTCAATCTCTGGATGCTGAGATCCGGGCCTAGGGAGCAAGACTTCAAAAGCATGCCCCGCACGCACCATCGGAAGCCAACCTACGATGTCGACACTCGCTGGAATTCGACCTACGACATGATTGACCAATTCCTGGAGCTTGAGGCAGAATATACCGAGTTCGTTGATACTCACCAGCAAGTCAAGTGCCTCCTGCCCTTATCGGAAGAGATTGTCGCGCTCTATCAACTACGGAAGGTTCTGAAGCCGTTTAAAGACCACACTCTGAAAGTCTCCGAAGCTATGCCGCAGATCTCACAAAGTCTCGATATCTATTGGGATTTGGAAGCTCTCCTGATGATGTAGTCGAAGGGGTTGGCGACTTTTCAGACCTTGATATGTCCATTCGAAACGCCTTCTCGAAGGGCAAAGCAAAACACGTTACATATATGAAGAAGCTTGACGATCAAATGATGCTATTCGCAGCTCACATCCTGGATCCGCGGTATAAAGCTCACCAACTAGAAATGATGATACCGGATCAATACTCTGAGATTATGGCTAAAGTCAAGAAGTATTTCAGAACGGAGTGGCCGGAGCTAGCAACATTGGATGCCACAAACTCATCTATGAGCCAATCCAGACCAGCTGAGCGTCCTCAAGGAGTCTCCATTGCGCAGTGGAGAGCCATCCAAATGAAGAAGGCGAAGGAGGCGGAGGCGGGCGCGGCGATCCCTATTTCGGAGCTTGAACGGTGGTTTGCAACTTCCCGAATAGAGTTCGACGAGTCTATTGCAAAGTCTCCAGACTTCTTACGGAAGTGGTGGAAAGAACACAAGGAGGAGTGGCCACTTTTGGCTGCGGCGGCGCGTGATCTCCTCTGTCCCTGGCTCTGAAGTTGACGTGGAACGCCTCTTCAGTGGTTGTAGAGACGAATTCGGTATCCGCCGTCACGCTTTGAAGGCAGATACAGCGCGAGTACTAACACTTCTACGGAGTGCTTATACTCAGGAAGATAAGATCGATCAGGCGTTGATCAAGGCGGCCATGGAGTATGACATCTTGCCCTTCGCTAATAGTATTATTTGGAGACCAGACCACATTCCGGGAATGCTGGTAAATGGTATGAATATACCCTCATTGTTTGTGTATAATGCTAATCTGCGTTCAGGCGAGAATCCTCCTCCTAAACCCCTGCTCCGGCGGAAGTTCCCACCGAGGGTCCTACCGAGGCTCCACCGAACCTCCCACCCCAAACCTCTTGCTTCCCAAGCCAATAAGTCTGCGATATCAACCCCTTGTCTAGGTACAATGGAGGCTTCGGAGGATTGAGGCTCTACGAGTGTGTAACCGTGCACAATGGCGATTCGAACGCGTTGTACCGACGCATTTTGAGGATTCGGCAGAGCTTTTGAAAGTGCATATTTTCAGCGATTTGCCTAGGACATGCGGATCAGTATTTATGTAAGTTAATTTTGTGGTATTCGGGATTATCAAGACACTTCTCAGAGGGCTATAAAACTATATACTACTTATTGGAGTTTTGAGGTATTTTTGCAATCGCTTAGGTACACACCAAATTCACTTCGTTTAGGGGATCCCTTCAAACCATTCATGAATGGCCTGAATTGGCCCAAACCCAACTTGAATCGCGAAAATTGGAGCTTGAAGATTTTGAATCGAGATCCCAAAAATTCAATTCATTTGATTCATCCTTCATTCAAAATCTTCAAAAAATTCACCTTCGTATATCACCCCTACCTCCTAGGAAGAAAGACAGGTTTCCCATCTTTCCGCGAGCATATCGAAGCATGATTTCTCGTTGTACCATCCATCTTCTGCATCGAAAGAGGAAATGTTCCACCGTTTCCGCCGACTGTCCGCAGGTGCACTCATCCGATTCCTCTGCCCCGATTTTGCAGAGGTAGCCATTCAGTCGTGATTTGCCAGTTCGAAGTTGTACCAACACTTCAGATTCCTTTCTAGTTAGCTCGTCGTACATCTTGCGGGTGTGCTTGCCCGGCAATGCTTTATCGATGCGCTTTGAGTGCTTTCCAACCCCTTCTGGGATCTGACGAACGCGAGTGTGTTCGTTGAGCAGCAGTCGTAACGTCGTTGCTCTTGCCTGAAACGTTGCTGGTTCAGCGATGCACTCATCTCGCGTCGCTCTTTTCGCTTGCATTTTGGCCAGTGGCCTAGAGTGAACTCCTCATTCTTTGCAGGCACCCAGCGAAGTCTGACTCTGCAGCCTCTTTTCGCCAGATACTCAACAGATCCGTATATCGCCCGTATCGTGCACTGACCAGACTGCTGCCGTGGCCGCCCGATGACTTGCAGGACAGAGCGGTTGCTTGTCACAACTGTGAGCTCTCGGTCATGAAGACCTAGAGGTACACACCTCAGGGCCATGGCGATTGCCTCGAGTCCTGCTGTGTAGGCATTCTGCTCATCACTGGAGCCGAGGTGGCGGAGTAGCTGGCCAGCACCCGTCTGCGCTGTCGCGGAAGCATCCCGAACGACGCCTCCCAACCCGACCTTGCCTTTCCTTTGAGAGCTGGACGTCGCGATAGTGATGCCCTCCGAGTCATCCGGCTTCACCACCTCCACTCGGTCTGTCTCATCCGTTACCTGCACTCGGTCCTCCCACGGCGCCAGTGCGAACTCGTGGATGACTTCCAGGCGCTTGGTGTCTATTCTTCCCATCGCCGAGGCGAGCTTCTGCATTGGCGAAGCATACCTCCTGTTCAGCTTGAGCCTCAACGATGTCAGAGGATGCGTCTTCGGGAGCGTCCGCATCCTTATCCAGAATTTCGTCGCTGCTTGAGTGTGCCGTTCTCGAACTGATTGCACTCCGGCCTCGGCCTCGGCCACTGCCGTTGCAACTGTGCGGAAGCCTCCCGTGACTGCCTGGGCTCCAATTCGCTGGGCCCTGCCAATCCACGACGCTTCTTTCGCCCCGCAAACCAGCTTTTTTTATTATTATTATTATTTTGTATTGCGCCCGGAGGGTTCCCCCATAGAGCCACTACGCTAAGCTACGTACCTACTGTACATGGTTCCATCGCACCTGAAGCCCCACGCTTCTTTTCATCTGTTTCCAGCCTCGTTCGCTGTGACATGACAGGCCTGCTTGAAGGTCAGTTTCTCCAAGTGTTCAGCGTCCTACCTTCAGCGACTGAAGCGCGGTCTGCCAAGTTGAAGGCTGTTGTGTTAGTATGATTATCCCTTGATCAGTACATGGTCCTCGTCGGTCCATACTGAAGCGTTTCGTTGCCAATGCGAACTGTATTGTCGCCCGTACAGCCCCCATATCGGGCTGCCACTTGTCGTCGTCTGACTCTGCCTTGCCTCCTAGGAAGAAAGACAGGTTTCCCATCTTTCCGCGAGCATATCGAAACATGATTTCTCGTTGTACCGTCCATCTTCTGCATCGAAAGAGGAAATGTTCCACCGTTTCCGCCGACTGTCCAGGTGCACTCATCCGATTCCTCTGCCCCGATTTTGCAGAGGTAGCCATTCAGTCGTGATTTGCCAGTTCGAAGTTGTACCAACACTTCAGATTCCTTTCTAGTTAGCTCGTCGTACATCTTGCGGGTGTGCTTGCCCGGCAATGCCTTATCGATGCGCTTTGAGTGCTTTCCAACCCTTTCTGGGATCTGACGAACGCGAGTGTGTTCGTTGAGCGGCAGTCGTACCGTCGTTGCTCTTGCCTGAAACGTTGCTGGTTCAGCGATGCATTCATCTCGCGTCGCTCTTTTCGCCTGCATTTTGGCCAGTGGCCCAAGGGTGAACTCCTCATTCTTTGCAGGCACCCAACGAAGTCTGACTCTGCAGCCTCTTTTCGCAAGATACTCAACAGATCCGTATATCGCCCGTATCGTGCACTGACCAGACTGCTGCCGCGGTCGCCCGATGACTTGCAGGACAGAGCGGTTGCTTGTCACAACTGTGAGCTGTCGGTCATGAAGGCCTAGAGGTACACACCTCAGGGCCATGGCGATTGCCTCGAGTCCTGCTGTGTAGGCATTCTGCTCATCACTGGAGCCAAGGGTGACGGAGTAGCTGGCCAGCACCTCGTCTGCGCTGTCACGGGAAGCATCCCGAACGACGCCTCCCAACCCGACCTTGCCTTTCCTTTGCGAGCTGGACGTCGCGATAGTGATGTCCTCCGGGTCATCCGACTTCAGCACCTCCGCTCGGTCTGCCTCATACGTTGCCTGCACTCGTTCGTCCCACGGCGCCAGTGCGAACTCGTGGATGACTTCCAGGCGTTTGGTATCTAGTCTTCCCATCGCCGAGGCAAGCTTCTGCATTGGCGACGCATACCTCCTGTTCAGCTTGAGCCTCAACGATGTCAGAGGATGCGTCTTCGGGAGCGTCCGCATCCTTATCCAGAATTTCGCTGCCGCTTGAGCATGCCGTTCTCGGAACGATTGCACGCCGGCCTCGGCCTCATGGAGCTGGTGAGGAACGAACGCGAAATAAGTGGGGCGTGGCACGGGTAGCGATTTACTCTCGTGATTTCCCGAAATTACTCCGCAAATCGACCCCACGATAAGTCCTGCTTATCTATGACGGAATCCACTTTCCCCTTTGCTCCAACAACAGCCTTTTAAGCACGCCACTTAAAGCGAAACAATTTAATATAGTGAGACTTAACGCGTTATGACTGGCTTGACTGCTTAATTTATATTAGGGGATTGTGAAGTGTGCCTACGTATTTTCTGAGTATGCGCTCCGACTAGAAACAATAGAGTACGTCTTTCCCTCGGACATATCAGCAGTCACGTCCTCTAGCTCCACTTCCGAGATGTCCCTCGTCCGCCGAAGTCGCCCTCGCTCTTGCGAGTGACCTCGAGCTGATATGACGTTCGGTTTTATATCCTGATTGCCAATTCTCCGAGGGCGATATTCAGTCTCAATAAATGTTACCGCACTATTCGTCATGGTTTGTATGGTACTCCGGCGAACCATGTTGCAGAAAGTCCTGTTCCCGCACGCTGCGAATGTCAACGTCATTCCCATAATGTTATTTGATAAGCATACTTATGACGCCCATGCTGCCAGGTAGACGAGCTCGCTCGGCCTTGATTCTTGACAGGATCAAATCGTCGAAGTTCGGTACTTCTGTCGGGTCTAGACACATCCAGAATCTTGAGTAATCTTTAAATGGCTTGAAGCCTTCTCTTAGACGAGGATAGCCGCACCACACGATAAGCAGTTTCTGCTTGAGTATTAGTCAATGTTAGGAGCTGTGCTTTCTAAGGGCACCTACATTTTCTCGATCAAGTTTCTGCAGCGATTTGAGCTGCTCTTGTACCCATTCCATCAGACAATTGGCTTCGAGATGTTGACTTGATATGAGACATGGACCAAGACATGTTTAGGCAGCAGTTACAAGTGGTGAGTCACTGGATAGTGGCACGGACGTGCCACTATGTATATATGTATGTTGAGAGCTGTCAGACAGAATTGAATAGAAGCAAGTTCAATCGCAACAGGTTATGCACCCGGTTGCTTTTATTATCCTTCCACTGCACGATTGAACTCGGCATATGAGAACACTTTTCGTCAAGAATCGACGGTTGACAGCAAAGACCCGGCACTATGGGCAAGAAAGACTACAAAGGAACCATCCTTGATGGAAGAGACTCCTTTGACAGCTGGAAGATGGATCTTGAAGATAACTTGTTGAGTGACGATCTTATGAGCTGCGTCACCGGTAAGGCAACAGCGGAATCGTCAGATTTATCAACGCCAGGAGAGAATGCTGCGGACATTAAAAATGTCTCTCTTGCGAGAATGAAAATACGACAGAGTATTGACCAGATCCACAAGAACTCAGTCAACCATCTCACCGATCCACGAGCAATTTATCAATCCCTCGTTAAGCGATATGCGACATCGAACAAAGCGCGCCTTCGACAGCTGATCCGAATGCTATACGACGTTAGTACGCAGACGAATAGAACTGTGCAGGAGAAGGTCGACGACCTAAAGCGACTTCGAGCTCAGATTAATAGCCAAGACAAGGACATTGTTATCCATGAACAGCTATTGATTTGCTTCTTGCAAATGAGCATGGACGACGCTTTTAACACTACGGTCGAGATCTTGAACGCCTCGACAGAGACGTTGACAATGGAAAAGGTGCAGAGCTCTCTGGAAAGCAAAGAGTTGGAACTCGTCGATACTACAATCAAGGAGAAACCGCACAATTCGCGGGTCGTGGCCGCAGTGCATGGAACAAAGGAACAACAGGTCCAAAGCACAGGATGGTGGCGATGATAGCAAGGAGGAATATCTGAAGAAGGCAGGGGTGCTGGTCTTGTGGCGGTATGCATTTCAAGCATGATTGTGCAATTTGGCACCAAACCAAAGCAGGGAAGACCTGGCTAGCCTCTGAAAAAGCGAAGGCGAGAGAGGCCATGGATAGCAAAGGAAAGGCAAACGCGGTCAGGATCCTTGAAGACAGTGGTAGTGAATCTGAGAGATCTACCTACTTGCTTCCGAACACAAAGGAAACAGCCCCTCCACAATGGTATCTCGACAGCTGTGCTTCCCTCCATATCACCCCAAGGGAAGACCAATTTATCTCAAAGTTGTCCCCTACAAAGACAAGTGTTGAGATTGCAGACGGCTCCGAGGTTCGTTCAAGAGGGAAAGGAGATGTGAGGATCTTTTACGTCTCACAGAAAGGAAGAGCAAGGTCGACAATAGTACGTGGGGTGCACTACATCCCGGAGGCGACGAGCAGCCTGCTATCAGTCGGTGAACTGGAAGACAGGGGAGCATGTATTGTCGTGGACTCTCCGGGAAGACAGTCACGGTGACAAGAAATCAGGAGGAGGTGCTGTTTGGCCACAGACATAAAAGGTGTGGCGCTTGAGCCAGACAAGAGGGCACCGAGCCCATACAATCCAAGAAAAGGATGGCGATAACGGGGTAGCGCTGAAGTCAATCCTGAAGATGCCTGAAAGACTACTACATGCTAGGCTGGGACACCCTGGAAAGCATATGGAGGGCAAACTGAACGCCGTAATGGATGATCTCGGAGACAACTCATTCTGCCCGTCATTCTGCTCAAGCTGCACCGAGGCCAAAATGACAAGAAAGGTCTCAAGGATGCCAATGTGTGCGGCGACAGAAAAGCTAGAGAGAGTCCATATAGATCTTTGGGGCCAGTTGAGCTATCACTTCAAGGAATGAAGTACATGCTGACAATCACCGATCAGGCTACCGGGCGAGTTTGGGTTTATTTCTCTAGAGACAAAACGAGAATTACCGACAAGATCAAAGCCTGGGTAGTTGTTGCAGAGGCAGAGTGTCGCGAGTACGGAAAAGGCGAAAAGTCAAGGCGATGCGCTTTGATCGCGGAAAGGAGTTTCTAAACGAGGCAATGAGGGTATTTTGCACGGGAGAGCTATTCGGATCGAACCAACAGTGGGCTACCACCCGGAGAATAGTATCTCTGAGAGGAGCATGAGAACCATATCAGAGAGGGGGTCTGCTATGCGCCACGGAATGGACCTCCCGGCACCATACTGGGAGTTTTCGAACGCAACAGCGGCCTATCTGAGAAATAGGGGAGTTGTCAAGGGAATGGCTAAAAGCCCATGGGAGTTATGGCGTGGAGAGAAGCCAAGATCAGGGCACTTGAGAGTGTTCGGATGTCCTGCCTGGGTATTTATTCCCAAAGAAAAGAGAACAAAGCTTCTGAAAAGAGCATGGCAAGGAGTTTTTGTTGGATACAAAGAGGAGACAGATAAAATCTATCTAGTCTGGAACCCAGCTGATAAGAAGGTCCACGAGGTTCGATTCGTGGAATTCGATGAGAGCAAGTATATGGACAATGAAATCAGCCAAGAATCACAATCGCAGTATGACGATGAGAAGGAAGAGAAAAGGGAGCAAGGGGAGCTCACTGATGATGACTCTGATGCCGAAGATTCGGTCAGGGATAGGACCATGGACCAGGAAGCTACAGAAGCTGGGGAGGATGCCGGAGAAGCAGCGGACGGGAACCCGACCGGCCAAGACACTGCAGATTCGGAGGAAGAGCTCCAAGGAGACACAATCATTGTCAATACAGGGGAGGCGGATATAACCTCTCCTGAAAGGAGTCTGCCGAAAACAAGATCCCAGATTCGACGAGAGACCGTGGCACTCAAAGAGCAGAGAAGCAGCGAGCAGAGCTGGAACGGCGGCAAAGAGAAGAACAGCGCATGGCAGAACGTCTGAAGAAGCGAGGAGAGTGGCAGGAAGAAAAGAGCCATGGTAGCAAGGACGCTTCTCCAGCCTAATACAGACCTGTACGACTTCGACCCGAAAAAGCTTACCTTCCGACAGGCGATGGAAGGCAGTGAGAAGGATCAATGGGTAGGAGCTATAGATGAGGAAGTTCAGAATCTCATTCGACGACAGACATTCTCGGAGGAAATCAACGAAGTTGACGTGCACGGAGAAGAAGTAGTTGATGCCAAGCTTGTGTTTGATCGCAAGAAAGACAAAGAAGGGAAGATACTACGGTATAAAGCACGTCTAGTCGCGAGGGTTCACACAGAAACACGGGATCAATTACGAGGAAACCTTCGCACCCACGATCCGGCTCGATGCGATGAGGATCATTCTAGCTTTAGCGGCGAAGAAAGGCTGGAAGGTATACCAGATGGATGCTGTGGCTGCGTTCCTTGCAGCAGACCTAAAGGAAAGGATCTTCATGAAAGTGCCAACTGAGCTCCAGCAATATTTCGGGAAATACGCTCAGATCCTGAAGAGTTTGTACGGATTGAAGCAAGCTGCAAGGATGTGGTATTTGCTAATATCAGAATGGCAATTGATATACGGGCCCAACCACTTTACTACACGGGCGCTCCTTACACGGGCTGTATGGACGACCGGCCAGCCCCACCAACACGGCCCGTCAGCCCACCAAAGGCGGTGAGACCACCACAACACACGCATTCGCTCACTAAGATGACATCTTCTACCGCTAATCTGATAACCTTGTCATCACTACTGAATTCGAGAAGAAATTATGCAACAGACATCGACATATGTGCACAGTCAGAACCTACCGTTAGTCCGTTACAGGCGCGAGGATGGCCAGCTTTCCAACGTACCCTGCGAAGATGCCATGGATCTAGTCACCCTCTCGCTCGTCCGAACAATAACACACTCACTGATGCCTGTCTCGCTGCGCGGGTTCGGTGCAGTCGAGTTCGCCGAGGCAGCGGGCGGCTTACGGGAACCCGAACGACCAGTCGAGCTTGGTCGCGGCGCTTGCCTCTCGTCATCACTTATGAGCTCCCACTGCGACCGTTGCCTCCGTACGCTCGGCCGACTTCTGCGCCCAGTAGCCCGAACGCCTGTCGTCTTGCCCGGCCTGAGGATGGCCGTCTTCTTGCCCGTCACTGTCTGACTCTTTCGGCGTCGGCTACCCGCTCGATTAACCACCATACTCGTAGGGACAGGCTGTACCGTATTCTTCGGTCGTCCACGAAGGCTCGTTGCGATCCTGGGATCCAGGATTCGGCGGTAAGGGTCCCGTGAAGAAGGCTCCCGTAGATGCCACCGTGGGTGGACATCCCACCTCCTTAGGAACTCACCTGCTTCCAATTTGCAGTAGATCGTATGGCGGCAAGGGATCCCCAGTTGCCAGGATACGGAACAGTTCTCGCCGCAGTCTCCGATTGGTTCTGGCCAAGGGCGAGACCTGCTTGGTATCGCTTTCAAGGCGTAGCGGTGTTCCCTGGCTATGAGATTAAGCCCCTGTTGAGATGCAGTCATGCGGAGCTCGCCCAGGTACTCAGAACCAGGGCTAGAGTAGGTACGCGTGGTTAAAACTTCATCTTGTGCACAATTGTCGATAAAATCTCGTTCCTGATCACCCAACATGCCCTCTATCGCCTCGATGAGCCCAAATAAATGGTTCATTCCATTGAGCAGATAGCTCTTGACGTTGTTGTTGCTTGCCTCCGTGCCAGACGTGACGCGAATACCGAAGTTACGATGCTTTTTGATGAAGCACTGAGACCATTGCGGGCTCAGGGGCAAGTAGGTATTGTAAAGGTAGATCAGAATGGCCTCCTGGTCATCGAACTCGTCGCATAAGCGCACCCAAACCTTCTCGTAGTCTTCCTTTGTCTCTGCGAAAACCACGAGCTTCCACATTTCAAGGACACCACGGTAGTTGTGGGGTACGGTCGTGGAGACGTTGCTCCGAGACAGCGGCTCGTCTTGTCTCCCCGCCGCAAGGACCGCCTCCTTGTCGCGCGAATTTAACGTTGCCTGCGATTGCTCAGTATTAGAGCCACCGTCGCTGTCTTCCTTGGCGTGCTTCCACTTGCGCTTGGCGTTAAGTAGTACGTTCGAGTTGATATGGAAGATACAAAGCTGTTGTTGAGCGTCTGAAACTGATCTTCCAGTGCCGCCTTCATCTGTTGGTCGAAGTCCGTGATCACAACGTTGGGTAGTTGAATTCCATGCCTCTCAACCAACTGCCTAATCCCTACAGCGAGGAATGGAAGCCTTCACGCCTTTCGTTATCGATCAAGCCGAAGGCAGCGTTGTAGACCGACTTGAGGCAAGTTTGACCCGTCGCCTGGAAGAGCGGGAGCTTGAAGCGATTTGTGTTGTAAGTGTTGTCGAAGCTTATCACCTCCGGGAAGCGTTTCCACATACGGATACAGTATGGAAAGGTCCATACCAACCCAACAAGGCGGTCAGGTTCGGTCTCTGACCACTTGGCGATATAGGGGATGCCCCTCTCGTCGAAAAGCTTGATTAACGCGGCTGTGGGGCTCATTCCGCCAAGATTCTCGCGGCGCAGAAGCGCCCTGGCGTTATATATGTCCCTTCTCATATAGACGGTTCCTGGGTGGCTGTCCCGAACAAGTCCCCCTACATCACGTGCCCGGATGCCAACTCGCCGGCTTGTTGTTTCGATTGTTGCCTTGACAGGGTTGGTAAGTCTTCGGTGAACTGGGTGCGCGGAGAGGCTAATACTCCGTTCGTGGTTATGTTGGCCGTGCTCAGGGTCGGGAAATGCTCGTAGCGTCCACATATAGCTGTTCTCTGCCAAGCCTTCCGCGATCACCTTCCACTTGCAGCCGGACTTGCGTGACCGCCTCTGGCGAAGCCCAGTCCCCTCAGACGGGCGTGGCTGACCGTACCGATCGCACTCCAATACGTATCGCGTCTTTCTGGCTCGACTCCCAGTTCCATTTCGCCTGACAACGCCAAACCCGTTCGTTTTGCGAATGCGTTCACCTCGGCGTGAAGGGCCTCGATCGATGGAGCTGCAGTACCGGGGATTTGTGGATTGGGAATAGGTTCAACGTCGCTATAATCCCCACACTCGGCGTCGGAGAAGCCGTTCCACTCTTCGTACTCCTGTCCATCTTGGCTCAACGATGATACTAGTGGAGTGGGCGACGCAATACGGCCGTGGCAATCGTCTCCACGTTCCCAAATAGCTTGCCGTGGGCCGGACGCTTCTCGACACTTGGCCAACTCGCGAGCCAATAAGGAATCTGTCTCCGCCAGCTCCCAGGCCAAGGTCAAGGCAGGCTGGAAGCGGGCCACAACCTGCTTGCGGGCATCGACTTCCTCCACCCTCAAGAGGCAGCGTAGACGCTGTCTCTCGAGTTTGTCTGCATCAGGAATTCCTGTGGTGAACAACCGCCGAGCCCCACCTCCTCGGAAGCTATCATCCAAGAATATTTGTGACTGACGTAGTTTCCACCAGGGCTCGTCGACGCCACGAGAGCCGTGTGGTCTTGGCAGGCTAGTGAAGTAGCTTTCTGGCCATGTCGCGAAGAGATTGTATAACGCATCATCGTCGTTAAGGCCGTAATACGGTTCAGGATTGAAAGGAGGCTGAGCCCGAGCCCGTGATGCAAGTCTACGGCGCTTGCATGGAGGCAAGCCCGGAAGGGATCTACTACAGCCGTCGCCGCTGTTGGCAGCAGTTGGGTCTTCGTGCAATGTCATGCCGGTTGGTGCTTAACCGAATGATTGCTCAGACGGAAAGTTGGTTGTGGGAGAGTTAGTTGTCACTACAGAACTGGCAGCTGGGATGTCACCCCCCTTCTGCCAGGTGGTGGGGCTACAGACCCTGCCACGTGCAAGGACCAGGCGGCAGAATTTTTGGCCCAATTAAAAACCGCCGCCCGTGTAAGGAGCGCCCGTGTAGTAAAGTGGTTGGGCCCGTATATCAATTGCCATCAGAATATCTCAAGGAGATTGGTTTCTCACCGATGACAGTGGACCCGACAATATTCAGACATACAGAGTCGGAGGTAATCATCGGCGTGCACGTGGATGACTTTATGATTACAGGGGGGAACGAGGATGCCATTGAACGGGTCAAGGAAAAGCTGAAGGAAGATTTGAGATGAAAGACCTCGGAGAAGCAGAGAACATTCTCGGAATTCGGATTCAAAGGCACAAAGGAAAGCTGATGATTGATCAATCACAATTTGCGAAGGAAATCGTGGCAGAATTTCTCTACGACGACTCAATGAAGCACGCAACCCCCATGGAACCTGGAGCTATACGGAAGCTCGCTGAGGAACCGGGGCCTCTGAACCATGACGAATGGTTGAAATACGTGGAATTGCTCGGAAAGCTGATTTGGCTATGCAATACGAGGTTCGACATTATATTCGCAGTTAACAGAATGGCATCTTTCACGGTAGAGGCATGCTGGAACCACTGGAAGGCTTTGCTACGAATATTGGGTTATGTCGGCAGGACTATTCACCACGGTATCACATATGGCGGAAATAATGAGCACGCACAAGGAGTCGAAGGCAGCGATATCGACTATTACTCCATTGACCACAACATCGAAGGGCACGTCAGGGCTCCTAATAGTGCAAACGGTTTACACTGATAGTGCACACTGGATCGTCAACGCCTGCCAAAAGCAATTAATGTTGAATTTTAACTGGCGGAAATAGGATCTGGCCAATTGGATACTCTCTAGATTTGCTTTTGATCTGAGCTGATGGCTCAGTGTGCACTATCAGTGTAAACCGGTTGCACTATTAGGAGCCCTGGGGCACGTCGGCTCTGCAGGCCTGCAAGATGGAGAAGCGTTCTCTGACACCGACTACGCTACTGATCCAAGGGACCGGAAGAGTATCCTGGGGTTCGTCTTTATGGTCTACGGAGGCGCCGTCATGACGTATAGCAAGAAGATGAAATCAGTGGCAAGATCTACGACAGAAGCAGAGTATGTTGGGATGGGGAGGCCACAAAGCTGCCCTCTGGGGACGTCGACTACTTGCAGAACTGGAAGGAAAGGGGAGCAAACAGTGCCACTACTGCTTGGAGTTAATAAGGAGCTGTACAGCTGACCCGAGGAGTATCGAACACGTCGAAAATCAAGCATGTTGATATAGCATTTCATCACGTCGTTGATGAGGTCAAGGAAGGAGAATCCAAGTCTACTGGGTTCCAGGGAGAATATGCTAGCAGATGGGATGACCAAGCCTCTGCCTAGGAGGCTTTCGAGAGGAACAGGAGGAGGATTGGAATTGGACCCATACGCTATGAATAGCGTTGCAGTTGAAGTCTGACAGCTCTAGGGGAGTGTTGACTTGATATGAGACATGGACCAAGACATGTTTAGGCAGCAGTTACAAGTGGTGAGTCACTGGATAGTGGCACGGACGTGCCACTATGTATATATGTATGTTGAGAGCTGTCAGACAGAATTGAATAGAAGTAAGTTCAATCGCAACAAAGTCAAGGCGTTGAAAGTTGATTTCTCCGCTATAAAGGAACTTCCGAAGGGTTTGCTGCTGTGCTTCTTTTAACGGCTGGAAAACGCCTACATCGAGAGGCTGAAGGAAATGTGTTGAGTGAGCCGGAAAGACGATCACGAAGATGTCGAACTTGAGGCAGTATTCTATAAAGTCGAGGTCGGTATGGCCGCTGAAGCCATCAATGATGAGAAGCCTTGAGATCTTTTCGTCTGTAGAGATAACCCTATGTGAAAGGCATCACCAAACTAGGCATGCAACCAGGTTGTGGCCAAATACAGTTTATTATCTTGATGAAGAAGAGAAGAAGAAAGGAAGTGTGTCTATCTGGATCCCCTTTTGTGATGTGCCCGTAAGCTCAGGGGCTCAGGGGTAGGAGCAGGGGTTCCTTTCTGGGGTCCCCCTCGGAATTCCAGCTCAAAGGGCTTCAGCCCTATAACACCCTAGGCTCTGTCTTCTTGCCAGCTTCGTCTTGATACCACTCGTCACAGCCAAGCCACTCGAGAAGGGATTTCCCGGATCGTTAAGCCTTTGAAGACATAACCCACGAGACCTTGTTGAAGTGGTGGACCCATTCGAGTGTAACTTCAGCGTTGCTAAAGCCAGTGTCGGTTCGTACGAATCGTAGCTCTTCAGGGCCATCGATCGAGGCCCAGGACTCGGTGGGAAAGGTCTTGAAGATCAGCCAAGGAGACATCACGTCTCCTATAGCGTTGGCGGCGCCGATGAGCGTACAAGACTCACGATCGCCCGGGTCAGTCACCTGGGGACGGTTATGACGAGTGGCTCTCATGATAACCACAGAAACGCGTTCCCGAAGGCTGCCAATGCGGATACCGCACTCGTCTTCATTCCAGATATCCGAGGCGCCGAGGTTATAGTCTTGTATGATCTCCCGCAGCCTTAAGAAGAAAGACACGATGTTCTCGATGCTGCTAGCCTCAACGGCACGCCTAGCCTTCTCGATAGCCTTGATTATAGTCTTTCGAAGCTCTCCGTGGGCTTCAATCCATCGCTTATACCAAGAGTCGGAAGGAGGCATAGCATCGGGATCGCGTCGCTTTAAGAGCGTATAGCAGGCGTCGATAATTTGAGGCCTTGTGGCGGGAAAGACCCCCCTTTTGAAGCCAAAGGACAAAGGCTACGAGGGCATCGTCTTTATTATCGTTCAGAAGGGGCTTGCGGCCGCTAGGGCCACGATCGCGTTGTCCGAGGAGCTGCTGAACGGCGCGGCCGATGTGAGACTTGCTCACGCGAAACTTCGTCTCTGCGGCTCGAAGGGAAAGGGGCGGCGAGGGCTTTGCCTTCCCTGTGCGGCCCCGGCTGTGAAGAGCGGCGACGGCATCGCGAGATTGAATAACGGCCCGGGCGGCGCGAAGAGCATTGATGTCGTCAATCATGACGCCGATTTACTCGTTGTTGGTCTTTTGTTGGTAAATTTTCTATGGTGACGCTGTTGTATAAAAAATACATAACGCTAGGAGCCGGGCGGTATAGGGCTGTCCCCTCGATTCGACCCTGTCCCTCCATTTTGACGCCTACTACGCGAGGAACGAGCGTAGGCTAGGCAGGGCATCGGTACGTACCCTCGCCTACGGGTAATGTTAAGTCAGCCTACGGCTAAACAACCTCTATTTGTGGCTGCAAGTAAGGAAGGCTACCCCTCCCTTCATGCGTGGGCACAGCCACGTATGCGTGGGTAGAACACCTTACTCAGGAGGTCCCCAGAAGTCCCTAAGACCTCGTGTATAAATAGCCCCTTCAGACTGCCCCTTTAGAGATAGAACATGCATCTTGAACCTAGCTGTGTGGACCCCTTATTCCGATGTGTATTGACATAACATTTCACCAACAGGGACCTATAGTGACCTCACGTTAAAGCCACCCATGAAAGTCACCTGAGGGTCCCTCTAATCACGGCATAAATAGGGCCCTGTGGTCGTCTCTAGCTAGATCATGCATCTTTATCCCATCTTATGTAGCCCCTACCTCATGAGTACCAGTGTAACAGTCATTCGACAGTAACCATTCCCCACCGCTCTTTCGGTACTCGTGCCAGCCCCCACTTTATTAGGATTCGCTTTGGCTCACCCTCTACTTCTGTAAAGTGGGTGCTGATCACCCAATGAACAGATCACAAAATCCTTCGTAAGCCACCTTGGAAAAGACTCACCACGGCACGGCAGCCCGCGCCGGCTCTAGTGCGAGTAGAGACTGCCCCTCAGACTGCCTCAGACTGTCCTCTGATCCTATCATACGGTACCACGGCCCACCGGCTTTCCCGGGCGCGACCCCAAGACCGGCTTTTCGTTACCGCGAATCGTCTCCAAGACGCGGCCGACTATGTCTCGCAGACCGGAGACGTAACTCAACCGCCACACCGGCACGGAAACCTGCACTCCATCCACTAACCTAACTAACTAGGTTCTACCGTATAATGCTGTCGTTGAGGGCGGCTTCGCTCCTCGCACCAAACGCCAAATGTACACGCGGGTGGTTCGGGTATTATGTGATCACTCCCTTAACATATCAGATAACTATCTGCTCCTGTAAGTCTTAACAGCCTCCATTACACCCGAAAAGAGCACTTAGCTTTTTCTGAGCCCTCGGGTCGGCGTCGCTTCAACCCTTGGGCCACCCCACGCGTCGACCACCCAGAGCCAGACTGGTTTGAGGGTGTCCTATCTCGTCGCCAAAGCGGTCCCGAGTCGGGTGGTTTTCGTATCCAGTAACCTCTTGCAGCTTGTTGGCTTCGCTCTGTCATTGTTGCAATGGTCGCTCTGCATGGTCTGCTCGTGGACGCGTGGGTGATGTGAAAACTTTTCTCCCGGCAGCCCACCACCGTGCCACAACCGCGCAACGCCAGCGCAACGAGCGCGCACCGCAACTACTGACGCCGGACACCACGAGAAGGTTTGCTGCTTCGTCTTACTACTCTTTCGAGCAGTATCCGATGTGCTCAGCGGAAGCCCGCTTGGTGCCACTCATGCGTCGACCGCGTCGGCGATGCTGACGGGCTAACCAACCCCACCGCGACATGGCCTGCACTATTCGTAAACCCCGCCATATCATACGGGCCAAGCCCGCGACCACGAAACAGAAGGTATGAAGTTCTTCAAAGGAAGACCTCAACTCGAGATCTCAATCCACGTGTTCCCCAGCCCCCCTATGGGGACCGCCAATGTTACGGCCGAAATTGGCCTAGTTTAACGAAACGAAATGACAAAATCCCCGACGGTCAAAACGGACCCCACTTGTACCACCCATTGCTCACCCCTTTTCGGCCCCTCCGAGCACTCGCGTCTCTTTGACTGGCAACTTGACGTTTGTCACTGGAAGCTCAAGACTAGAGATGCGCCGACATTGGTCAAATACAAGAAAAGCGGTCCCATACGTGTGGTGTCGAATCGGAGCCGGCCCACAATTGCGCGTGGGATGTAGTCTGGTACGGGTGCATGACACCGTGTCCACTTGCGCGCCTAATTAAGTGGGCAGGCAGGACAGCTAGCTCTCTTTTGCTACCTTCATAGAACAGACTTTTGCATCCCTCAATTCAAGCCAATTGAGCCCCTTTTATGCGCCCGGTGCTGCGGACCCTCAAAGGTAGATGCGGCCGGCATGTGGAATATAAGAAATGATTGCTCGTATGGCAGCACTCAGCTGTCCGTGGCGCTCGAGACGTAGCAATGAGCTGTCATCATGGGAGCCAGGTGTGATAAAATGACTGGACAAACGGTTAGTAGTGCCAGCACAGCCAAAAAGGTGATTGGTGAGCCAACGCAAATCACCAGTGCACAGCTCTTAATGTCGCGAAGAGAGGCCCTAATCTTTGTATCAGGGATGTACTAGCTGACACAGAGAGTGGATGGCGGCAGTCCCGCTGCTGAGGCAAGCGGCGTCGATAAGAGGAGAAGCAAGTCGGGAAAACAGGTGGCTGGGAAGAGGCTAGGGTCACGGGATTAGGCGACAAAGAAGGATATAAAATAAGTGGGCTTGCAGCGGCCAGAAGGGAAGGGCACAGACACACATCAGATGCCACTAGTGACATCCTTTCCCTTCACTCTGATGCCGATTGCAAGCTCTCTTCGTGAGACCTAATCCTGAGGGTCCCGGCGGCCATTGAAATACCTTCCGCTTGAGCTTAGCACGCCAAGAGCCCCATCCAAGCAATGCGCCTTTTAAAACACAATAGTCGTGGCGAATTCAGTCTGACCAAGGACTTGGCGGGCGACGAGATTCCTCGATATGCCATACTTTCGCATACGTGGGGAACAGACAGCGACGAGGTCAGCTTCAACGACCTGATACACGGCTCCGGCAAAAGAAAGGCTGGCTACGCCAAGATTCGGTTCTGCGGAGAACAAGCCAGCCGCGATGGCTTGCAGTACTTTTGGGTCGATACGTGCTGCATCGACAAGTCGAACAACACGGAGCTCTCCGAGGCCATCAACTCCATGTTTCGTTGGTACCGTGACGCAGGTAAATGCTATGCATATCTCGCAGATGTCTCGTCACGCATCTTGGACATCAACGACAAGCCTGGCCAGATGACCTGGGAAACATCTTTCCGAAAGAGCAGGTGGTTCACCCGCGGCTGGACCCTTCAGGAGCTGCTTGCGCCGACGTCGGTCGAATTCTTTTCCAAAGAGGGCGAGCGACTCGGTAATAAGAAGTCCCTGGAACGGCATATCGAGCAAGTAACAGGAATTCCCGTCCAGGCCCTTCGAGGGAATCCCCTGTCCGATTTCAGCGTCACGGAGCGACTCTCATGGGCCGAGCAGCGAGAGACGGCACGCAGAGAAGACAAGGCATGCTCGCTACTGGGAATTTTCGACGTCTATATGCCGCTCATATTTGGTGAAGGGATGGAGCGTGCGTTCAAAAGGCTTCGGGAGGAAATTGACAAGAACTTGAAAGGTGAATGTGCTCACTATTTGGGCTTCTATCATGGTCAACGTGGAAATCATTAACAGAAATAGGCGATAGACACAACGACTTTTCTGTCTCCTTTAGCCTGTCGGATGTTTCGGAAATTGAACACTTTGTGGCAAGGGACGAGGAACTCGCGGAAATGCATAGCATCTTACGCGGCGACGGTAGCCGTCGCGTTGTTGTCCTTCACGGCCTGGGAGGGATCGGCAAAACACAGCTCACGGTTGCATACGCGAAGCGGCACAGGTACGACTACTCAGCCATCTTCTGGCTCAACATCAAGGGCCAAGATTCTCTAAAACAGAGCTTTGTCAAGGTGGCCAAGCAAATACTGCGCGAACACCCCTTGGCGAGCCGGTTGTGCAGTGTGGATATTGGGAATAATCTCGACGACATCATTGATGCCGTCAAGGCGTGGTTGAGTCTCCGTGACAACACGCGATGGTTGATGATATACGACAACTATGATAACCCAAAACTGCCGGGCAACACGAACCCTGCAGCGGTCGATATCCAGAAATTCCTCCCGGAGGCATATCAAGGATCCGTCATCATCACCACCCGATTGTCCCAAGTCAAGGTGGGCCATCCTATCCGAATGCGTAAAATCGAAAACGAGCGTGATAGTCTCCAAATCTTGTCAAATGAATCAAAGCGAGAAGACCTCATACATGGTAAGTACACCCTCGGATTTGTCCGTGCACGTCTTGACTTCAGTCATAGATGCCGATGCTGTGAAACTCGTGCAAGAACTCGACGGACTTCCACTTGCACTGGCGACTGCTGGGGCATACCTTGATCAAACAGCAATCAGTTGCGCGGATTACCTTGGTCTTTACCACGCGTCATGGACAAAACTGCAGAAAACAAGTCCTGAACTCAGCTCGTACGAGGCCCGAACGCTGTATTCTACCTGGCAACTGTCGTACGACTACGTCAAACGACGCAACGAACTTTCTGCCAAGTTCCTCCACTTCTGGGCATACTTTGACAATGAAGATGTTTGGTTCGAGCTCCTCCAACACTGTGACGACGATGATCCAGAGTGGATACGCAAGCTGACCGAGGACTCGCTTACCTTTCATGAAGCGGTTCGCGTACTGAGCGACCACGGCCTGACAGAGGTAAATGTATCATCCGAGGACCTGGTGGAGTCGAGGGGGTACAGCATACATGGCTGTGTGCACTCGTGGACGAGGCACGTTCTAGATCAAGAGAGGGATGGCCATCTCGAGAAGCTGGCTCTGAAGCTTATAGCATCGCATGTCCCGGATTGTGGGGTTATCGACCGGTCGCTGATACAACGACGGCTTCTCAAACACGCAGCCAGATATTCGCAGCGCATACTAAACGGAGAGTTGGCCGCAAATGGAATGGATGGGGACGTTCAGGAACTGGGCAGACTCTACGCGGATCAGTACAAGTTGGACGAGGCCGAGAAGATGTTCCAGCTGGCGCTGCAAAGAAGAGAGAAAGCATTGGGTCCAAACCATGCATCAACACTCAGTACGGTTATGAGGTTAGGCGTCACTTACGCCAGAGAGGGCAGGCGAGACGTGGCCGAGATGATGTACCAGCGTGCTCTCCAAGGATGCGAAACGGCATGCGGTCCGGACCACACATTGACACTCGTCACGGCGGAACACTTGGCCGTTCTCTACATGGACCAGGGCAAGCTGAACGAGGCCGAGGTCCTATACCAGCGGGCGCTCGAGGGAAACGAGAAGACGTTGGGTCTAAACCATGTGTCGACACTGAGCACGGTCGGCAGCTTGGCCAATCTCTACTCGGACCAGGACAGGCTAGACGAGGCTGAGAAGTTATACCAGCGGGCATTGCAAGGCTTCGAAAAGGCATGGGGCCCGAACCATGCAAAAACGCTACATACCGTCGGCAACTTAGGCGCCCTCTATCTGAGCCAAGGCAAGCTAGTCGAGGCCGAGGACATGTTGCAGCGTGCGCTGCGAGGATGCGACAAGACGGCGGGTCTAGACTATATTGCAGCGCTGCACACGACCTTGAATATGGGTACTCTGTACGACCAGCAGGGCAGACTGGGCGTGGCCGAGGACATGTTCCGGCGGGTACTGCAAGGGTTCGAGAGGGCACTCGGCCCCGAGGCCGTGGCAAGATACCGACCAGCGCTCGAGGCGACTTGCAACCTCGGCCGTGTCCTAGCCGCCCAGGGGCGCTTGAACGAAGCTCATGACATGTACTTGCGAGCACGCACTAGCTTTGAGACGCTCCTGGGCCCATCGAGCGAGGAATGTCGACGGCTTGAACGTCGCATTGCGTCTCTAGGCACACCAGGAGAAACGCCAGACGAGGCTGCAGACGAGGCAGAGCAGGCGAAGGCGAAGAAGGCAGAGCAGGCGAAGCTGAAGACGGTGTCTGGGGAGCGGTAGGCCTACGCGCCGTTAGACTCTGGATATCCACGCTTGCGTGTCGTTTATGGATCAGTGGGATGCCTTGAGTAGTTGCGGCAAGGCGTTGAGCCTAAGTGAAGATAAAGATCAGCATACAAATTGGCAGAAAGGAGGGAGAAAGAGACACGTACATCACGATTATGAACCTGACGACAGGGGAGACATGTTCTAGTGCGCTTAGATGGGTTAATCAGGTGAACGAATTGATCGTCTTGCTTGAACTGCTTGCATTGAATGCAAAGACGATCGGGAAGGGCATTGTGCAGCTCCCCCGTAGGAGGAGCCCCCATTGGAAGAGGCGGCATAGAGGAGACAGCATGTAGATGTCATATAGGCGAGTAAAGCTAGATATCAGGGATTGAAAGTTTCAAGAGTAAATTAGGACCTCCCTCTTCCCCTGCGCGGGGGGGAATCCCTGCAGGGGGTTCGCCTACAGCGGGCTTTCGCCTGCGGCGGGCTTCTTGCCTGCGGCGCGATTATTAGCATCATATTTGCCAACAGCAGTAGCATCATCAGGAATCGCTGGAACCTCAACCTAGAGGCGGCCCTCGTGTTCCGGGCCCGGCAACAGACGGCGGCGCGCATCTTCCTCTCCGAGCATAAGTGGAGGGACGGCACGCCGACGGAGGAGGAGGCGGTGCTGATGCTAGGCCAGGGCGACGACAGCGCGACTCCGGTGCCGGCCGTCTTCCTCTTCGTGCCCGGCATGCCGGTCGTCGTGAACCAGAACACGCACCAGGGGATGAAGCTAGTGAACGGGGCCGGGTACACGGCGGTCGACGTCATACCCAACCGGGCCTTCCCCAGCCACCGGGTCTCGGCGGAGCTGACAATGCACTTCGGGCCGCCGGTCGGCATGGTGCTGGCCTCGGAGACGACCAAGGATTTCCACTTCGTGGGGATGCCGTCCGGGACGATCCTGCTAACGCCCATCAGCGTCAAGATCCAGGCCCAGCGGAAGCGGCCGTGGCAGCGGAACGACGTTAGCCGGGGCCTGCCGTGCGCCGCGGCCTTCGCCTGCACCGACTACAAGGTGCAGGGCGGGACGCTGGAGCTCCGGGGGGCGAGGACGACGACCGTCTACGGGCGCGCGGTACCGTCGCCGTGCGACCCGTATAGCCTATACGTGCAGCTATCGCGGTGCCCGACGCTCGACGGCATCATGCTCGTGTCGGAGGTGCGGGAGAGGGACCTGGTAGGGAACAGGGTGCCCGAGGAGATGACGGCGGCGCAGGCACGGCTAGAGAGGCTCAGTGAGAGGACCGTCGGGAGGCGCTACGCTGGCTCGGCGATGACCTCCGGGGCCGCGGGAGGGACAAGACGAGACTGGGGGGGGATAAATAGATAGAACGCCCAACTATTTCCTCATTAGGCCCGAGCCGCAGAACCACCGTTCTCACAAAACCTCGGCGGGGGCAAGTTCTATACGTCTTTTTCCAAGACACCCTAAATGAAAGGCAAAGGGCCCGGCTAGGAGTGATAGGCCGTTCCATCAGAAAAAAAGGAGGCTGGAGGAAGGAAGCGGTAGGCAGTCGAGGTTGCGGGGAAGCTTTCAAACCATAATAATTTCCTTTCCGACCAATCAGAGGATGGGAGTTTAGGGGGGAAAAAATTGGGTTGGGTGGTCGCGCGATAAGAAGAGGCCTTTCGTTCCTCACAGGTAAGGCAACCCTTCATGGGTTGCGCAAAGAGCCTTGAGGAACGAAGGCCGAAGATTGGAGAGACAAACAAGACAAAGACATGGTGAGAGAAAGAACGCAAGCAGGCGGTAGCGCTAGGAACTAAAACATGCAAAAAAGGTAGGTAAAGAAAGCGGCCATTCGGGCACCATCCCGCCGTGGGGAAGAGGCAGAAAAAGCAAGAAGGCAAGTAAAGCGGTGATGACGATTGCGGGGTAAGCGAGAGGAAGGAGCATAAGAGGGCGCCAAGGCACGAATAGGAGAACAAGAGCAGAAGCGTCTACCCTAGCTACCGATCGAGCAGTTAGGAAAACAACTACAGCATGGCCACTTGCAACGTTTCCGTGGAGTTCTGGTGCGAATTCGGGGCCACGGAGCTGAAGTACAAGCATAGCATCCCGAAGACGCTCGTGACGCAGGTAGGCCAGGCGAGGCCGAACCACGCAGCCAGTGCACTGTTCCTACAGTGGATAAGGCCGATCCTACGGGAGCACGAGGCAGCGTGTCGGAAAGCAGTAGGGGTGCGCTGCGAGAGCTGCGGCGGACTCGCAAAGGACATTCTACAGAGCCCGATATCGTACCTACACGCAGAGAGGCCGTTTGTGCTCGTGGTCGTGTCGTCGTTCTGCGGCAAAGAAGGATGCGAAATAAGGACGAGGCAGGAAATGCAGGACACGATGGCAGAGGCGGGGCAGGCGGGCGGAAACAAGGGCGCGACGCAAATGCAAGGGCAGGATGCGCAGAGCACAGAGGAAGGTCTGCCGGGTTTGTGGAGAGATGGCGGGGGCGAGGAGGTGCAGCCGATGCCTGACGGTGGCGTACTGCAGCAGGCAACACCAAAAGGAGGACTGGAAGGTGCACAAGAAGGGATGCAAGCCAAAGGCAAGCTAGGGAGCTAGCGAGAGGAAGCAAGCAACGCTGTAGAGGCGGGCTTACGGCCAGCCTCAAACGCCGCAACGGCCTTTGTAGAACCCGCCGACTTCAACGACCGTCGTCCCTATGGCTTGCACAACTAAGGAACGGCATATAATATTTTATAGTAGAAAACCGTATCCTCCATGTAGAGCAATGACCGATAGGCGAGAAGCGGAGTCGGCTTCCGCAACAAAGACGCCTTTTGCCGAGGCGCAACTACAGGCCCCCCGTCGCCGCTAAATGCAGCCGAGAGGTGCGGCGGCAAGCTGGCAAGAAAAGAGAAGGGCGAAGCGCAACGCACAGGACACAAATGAGGTCACGGAGAACGTCTAGAGGCAGGCACTTTCGTAAGAAACGGGTTCGGAAGCTAAAGCTGTCCTTAAAGGGACAAACGCTGTAATGTGCAGAGTAATAGTAATTCTAGAGCGACAATTTGCGTTAGGAGCAGCACCCGGGAGGAGAACAGTTCGTTTTAGTAAAGGTAGGAGGCGTAAGAGAGCGATGGGTCTATAGTAGGTAGCTTATTTCTGCATGCGATAGCGAAGAGGGCGTGCGGGCGGGTCGGAGGTGCTCGCGACGATAGAGTTGAGAGGGGAATCCGGGCTGCCCGTCGGAGCGGGAACGGGTGGGGCGCCGTCCGGTCGAGACGGAAAAGCGGCCGGCGGAGGAGAGGAGGAGGGGGCGGCGGAGCCGACGGTGTTCGAAGACGAGGAAAGCGGCGAATACTGCTGCTGCAGGAAGCGCGCCCTCTTCATGGGCGTATCGGCCAGGGCCGGGGGCGATCGCTTAGGCGGCGGCGTGACGGGGTCGAGGGCTGGCGGGGCCGGGGCCGAGGAAAGGGGGGGCGGCGCGGTCGAGGCCGGCGCGGCAACAGAGTACAAGGCGGCACGGACGGAATCGAAGGTAGAAGAGGCGGATTGGGTCTGACGCCTAAAGGGCGTAGTGAGGGGGGAAGCCGAGGCGGCCGCCGCCGCCGCCGAGGGCCTATCGACAAAGGTCCAGCTGTCCGGGACGATGATAAAGACGTAATCGCGCTCCGAGCCCGGGGGGGAGAGCATAACGCGGTGGTCGAGCAGGCCGACGACCTTTCCGGTGCAGGTAAAGGGGACGCCGGGCAGGAAGTCTCGACGCAGGAGGTCGAGGCCGGGCCCGGCTACGACGCCATGGAAGGAGACAACGGGAGGCGTAGACGGGAACTGGCCGCTAGAGGCCAAGGAGCGCGGCAGGACGCTAGGGGGCAAAGTCAGCGGGGCGGTGGGTGAGGAGGCGCATTAAAATGAAAAGGGGAGGGGGGCCCACGGCTGATAACCTTGGTCGCGGACAATAAGGGCGGGCACGGTGTAGAGAATAGTATCGTCCGGGCCGGCCTCGAGCCCGTCGCGGCGCTCCACCTCCCAGGAGAGGGCGTAGGGGTGAACGCGGCCGCTCATAAAGAACCACTGCTCGGACCAGTCGGTATCGACGACCGGCTGGCCGTAGATGGAGAGGTTTAGACTAAAGAAGAGGGGAGGGCCCTAGATCGTCGCCCTCGGCCCGGAGGGGGTGCATACTCCGACTCTAGCAGCCACGAGGGCACCGGCAGGAGGACTCGGGCGATGGCTTCGGCGTTAAGGCCTCTGATGCGGTGCTCGTCCTGGTGGGCAAACCTCGCGGGGCAGTCAGGCTGGGCGAAGAACATCATGGACATGTCGCCGCCCGCGCCCTTGCTAGTGACAAGGGGCTTGCGGAGGTGCGGGGCAGAGCTGTCCGCCGACGGAGACGAAGACATGGCGAGGCCGTGTAGTGGAAGAGCAACGTTGCCGGAGCGAAGCTAGAAGCGGCGAGGTATAGGGGCAGGAGTGCTCCCTGCCAATATGCCGTCTTAAGAGTTTAGTGTAGTAGGGAAGGGCTGGTGGCCGTGGTGTATAAGAGAAGTCAAAGGATCCTAAACGAAGACGCAACGTAGCGTTAGCGGTAGGCTAAGATAAGGAGCCTATATAAAGGAGGTCTATAAGATGCGTATACAGAAAAATGCGACAAGAGGAGAAGAGGAAACTTCGAAAGGCGGTCTAGTAAGACATGGAGGGTTTTAAGACAAGCAGGACGCGCGAAGCTATGTTCGAGGAGAAGGAGGCAGACTTATTCGCAACACGTGTAAGACATGGGTTCAAAATTCAGCAGGCGAGCGTCTAGGGGCGTACTGAGGCTTTGACCGACAAGACCTAGATGACAAGACGGAAAAGTGTACCATGCAAAGCACAGGCAAGAAGAAGCTGTCTTGGCGACCTACATGTAAGGGCCGGCCGAGGCCGTATAGCCCGCCGCTGAAGGCGGCGGGCAATAGCGGGCGGGCTCGATAGAAAGGCGGCGCCGGTATAATGTAAAGAGCAGCGGCACGCCTGTAGACGTACTAGAGAGCTACGAGTAAGATATATAGGCTTTCCTAGAGGATCCTGTACGCACAGGAGGGGTGCCAGTCAGCAAGACAAGTGCAGGATGAATGGTCGAGGCAAGGACTTATACGCCGTTATTACACTTACACTTACGAGGATTTACGCCGGGAGCCCAGTAGCACCGCAAGTAGGCGGGGCCGGAGAGGGCAGCGCAAGCGAGGAAGACAAGAGGTCCGCGGGGGCCTCGGTAGACCGGTGTCGCGATGAAGCCAGCTAACGGGAGGGTCCAGTCCGGAGCGGGTGACAGGGCAAGCCCGGCGCCAGAAGCCCGAGCAGCGCCGTACACAGGACCAGAGATCCGGCCGATCACAGCAGCGCCGGCACTCGGTCGCGGCGCCTCGGAGAGAGCAAGAAGAGGCGTCAAGGGAGGCGCCTCCGAGGCGAGGGCGGGGAAGACCGCCAGGACTAGGGAAATGGAGGATCAGCGCAGGCCGAGTCGCGCCGCGGGATATCCAGCCTCAGCCGACACCGAGTGCGGCGGCAACTTGGCTGCCGCCTACACCGAGGGCGGCGGGGCACTGGCTGCCGCTGGGCGGGCCCAGCGCCGTCTCGGCCTCAGGGAAAGGCCAGCGCGCACCGAGAGAAATCCGGTCTCTGCCGACGGCGGAGACCGCCGGGCCCTCGCCGCCGCAGACGAGAAGTTCGGACGCTCCACGGGACATTCGGCCCCAGCCGACATGGAGGGCCGCCGGTCCTTCACTGCCGTCGAACGGGATAGGTTTGGCTGCAGCCTCGGCCGGAAGCAAGGGGGCTCCGCAGGATACCTGGCCCCAGCCGACATGGAGGGCCGCCGGGCCTTCGCCGCCGTCGAGCGGGACTAGCCCGGCCGTAGTCTCGGCCGGAAGCCAGCACGTGTAAAGTCGGTGTCATATCCAAGGAGGTGGTAACAAACCTCGACAGCCGAGAGTTGTCGCTCGGAGAAGATGCGATTTGCCGTTCTCATCAGGAATTGACGGCTTTCGTTCAATACCGCCTGGTGCCTCTCGTCGGGCAGGGCGGGACCTGGCGCGCGAGACGTCGGACGACCGGCCTCGCGAAGTTGGCGGGCAACCTCGGTGGCGAGAGCAATGCGCTTCCACATCGGCGTATCCAGCTTGGTGGCGTAGTTCGTGATGTAGTACACCATGGCCAGGCCCTTGGTCTTGGTCAAGATCATCGAGACGTCGTGATTGTGGCGAAGGCCGACCGCCAACGACTTGTTATACCGGTTGACGAGTGGATGGTTGCGCCGAATCTGAAGCAAGCCATCCTCTGTGAATCCTGTCTGCTCGACGATCTTCCACGGTGCCTTGAAGCGGCAGGCTGTCCGTCTCTGTTGATCTGCCCCCCGGTCGATGACCCCCTTCAAAGAATACTTAAGGCAGGTGTATGTGTGGGAGTGCACTTGGCAACAGTATGCGATAAAATTGGATTCGTCTTCAAAAGCCGCAGTGAGAGCCGAGGTGCTGGTCATGACCTCCTCCACGGGATCGATGGGCTTCCTCTCCTGTCGCACGGCTTTTCCGGCATCTTCATCTAGACACTCATGAAAGACGGAGTCTATATATCGAATCACCTGGGCGCGATATGCTTCTTCCGCGGGATTGGCCATGTCGTCTATCAAGTTCGGTAAGCGCATGTTGCCGTCCAGCCAGAGTCCATGCAAGTGGAGGCTGCCTCGCTCATTCGTTTCCACCGTGGCGTAGTAGTGGCTGATCTTCCCGAAGATCGATTCCCGGCCTGTATTCACATACTTTTCAAAGAATAGGGATATTTCTCGGTGGAAGAAGATGGCCGAGCTAACCGGATCCATGGTGCTCAGGGCGATCCTGTCGTACTTTTCACGGAGATCGGCCAAAAGCTCCTTCGCAGACTCATAATCGTGGAGCCTATGAATGGCAAGCTTCATCTTTACCGGGTTATTAATGTCGTTGGGACTGATGGTAATCCAGATTGCAGGCATACCGGCGCGGATGTCTAGAGCTTGTATCTTCCTCCGCATAAGTAAACGGGATTCGTTCGAGAGCGGCTGTGCATGGCCAAAGATCGACAGCTCGCGAAGCAAGACCGATACGTCGGGGTCCGACGTAGTCCTCGTCTCCCGCATCTCCGCCTCGGCCCTCTTCAGTCGGTCCTCGGTCAAGTTCGCATAGGCTTGCTCAAGTCTGTGGAAGGAATCTTTAGCGACACGGGCCATGCTGATGCGGCGGTTGGAGGAGCGAAGGAGGGTGTTGAATACTAAGAAACAAAACACAGGATGGGTGGCGAATCGGCCTCCATGCCGTTGCAATACGTATCTGGCCCAGTAATTAAGAGAGTGATTCGGGTGACGGTCGACAGCATCGCTTTGTCGGCTGTGACTCGAGTCGCACTTCGATTTCGGGCCGCCCCTTCCCCACGGAAAAAGCTTCGGAAATGTTCGAGGGAAGAAATCTTCGTGTAGGTTGTCTGCGAAATCCGCACCACGCTCTACTCGGACAAATGGCTGATCTCCCGTAGTTTGGACCTGCATAACGCACGGCACAGAGTTGCCATGTCGAACCGGATTGGCGTTGACGATATCAGCCAGAAACGACAGCTTATCGGTATCCGCGAAGGCAGCCGGTCCGTCGAGGGGAAACATGCCGGACGTAGACGTCTCACAGACGGTGTCAACTTCCAGGCCGATGACAGCCGAGTCGGGGACAAGAGTCGCCGGCTCACCTGGGATGGTTGAGTCTGCTCAGTGGACAGAGTACAGTCTAAATCGCAAGATTCAGCCGCAAGAGTGGGATTAATCGAGTTCACCAGTTCATCGATGCTTCTGAAGTTGTTTTCCTCCAAGCCTCGATCAGTGTCCGGGACTATGTGGTCCGTTTGTGTCTTCTCAACGGTCGACGGTTCCTCCCTTCGCATGCGGTCCATGATGACGGTCGGAAAGCATTGGGAGTCGAAGGGTTCGTTGCGGGTACCATCAGGGCCGACCGTGGAGCTTAGAACCCGATTTGCTGCATCGCGTAATAAGTCCTTCCGCACCGCAAGTCCTATACGCTCAAGACGATCGATATACAGATCGATTGAGTCCTCTTGAGCTGGCGATAGCCTCGTATGCGTTGCTTTATGGCCGCTGCGAGGTTGGATGCCGTGAAATCGCAAGCGGAGTCGTTCGCGTGGAACCCCAAATTCCTTAGCCGCAGCGCGAAGGGACATATTGGGATTTGCCTCAATGGCTTTAATAGCCTCGGCTACGCGCCTTTCAAGCGTAAGCTCTTTATTCTTCATAATGTGCCGTTGTTGAGGTCAAGATAGAGGCTTGAAGCGGTGAAGTGACACAGCCAGGTGGTTGACACAGACAGGTGGTGAGGACCCACTTTACGTGGGTCTGTGGACGAGTAGTGGATTTCCCTTCAGACTGAAAAATGGCACTTGTGCCCGTTCAGGTTGTAGTCAAGGCGCGATGGCTTTTAACCCATGCTTAGCGCGATAATCCCTAGAGTGTGCCGAAGATTCACGTCCCCACTGCAAACGATGGCTCAAGAGCATGGAGAGTCAGCAGGTCAAAGATTGGAAGTCATCAGAGAATACGCGGTGGCCCCGTGGGAAGACCGCATTCGTGTTCTCTGTGACCTCGATGATGACCAGGCAGCTGAGTTGGTTGCGAAAGCGCAAGGCATTGTCGTCGCGACGAGCTCATCCGAAAGGCGAGGCGTAGTCGGCATGGGAGGCTGTGTTCGAGATACGAGAGTCAACAACGAGCAAGAAGCACTGGCGAGCTATTCCATCACTCTGGGGCCGCGAGAAGATCAAAACCCATATGTCGCGGAGCTGGAGGCGATTGCCACGGCTCTGCGATGTATGCCAGCGCGACTCGAGCAAAGAGAGCTAGTCTTTGTCACAAGCAACAGATCGGCCATGCAGGCGATTGGCCAACCGCGCCAGCAGTCGGGCCAATACATCATCCAAGAAATTTACAAGCATGTCAGGCTCTTCCGGCAACGGGGTGTTTCGATTCGTATGATATGGGCCCCGGCAGGAGCTGAAGGGTTTGCGTTGGGGCAAAAGCAAAGGCAGCAGCGCGGAAAGCGACACGCGAGGGGCGCATCCAGGAGAACTCGCCATTTCAAGCCCGCTCGACAAGAACAAGACTAGTGCTCTCTGGACTGCAACAGCAAAGACTGGAAATTCCTGCGAGAGTGGGAAGATACTCGAAAAGAATTGACACGGCGTTACTGTGAGGGAACGATCATGTGACTTTCATACTTTATGAAAGGTCCCGCTTTTATTCATGTAAATAGCGAAAGTCAGAGTCTTCCTTAGGAACCTCTTTCTCTCTTGTAGACAATCACTTTACCCAAGTCGCACTCGACCTTGTTCGTGCACTTGTACCGTCACATATTGTCTACCGACTACCCTTCCTCAATAGACCACTGTCCGCGACGTGACTATTGATTTCGATACCTCTAACCTCACCAAAACACCCTGCAACCAAATTTCCACCTAAACCACCACCACCGCACCAAATTCACCAATCAACGAATCAGCAAACCAACAAACCAACAAATCACAATCGCAAAGTCAACTAAAACGTAACGAAACTGTCGAACGCCACCTGCACTATAGCCATCACCGTCAACAACCCAATGGCTACCGCTACCCCACACCCGTCGATCGAGTGCCCCCTGCCCCTCCTCAACGCCAGCAATACCGATGAAACGTTCCGAAATGCCTTTGTTGCTAACCCAGCCGGTCTCATGAAAGAAGTCTTCCTCGTATGCAATGCCGCATACAGTATGCAAGCGGTAATCGATTCACTACGTGCCTCGACCACGACGACAAATAGGGCAATGGAGGACCTCCAAACCCGCCTAGAAAACACGCTCATTTCTAAAAGTGATGGAGACGCAATGATCGCCCGTCTTATGGCAGAAAATGAAGCGTACATAAAGATCATTCAGTCAAAGGGAGCTTCACACCGCACACCAGAACACCCTGATCCTGAGGCCTTCACCGGAGAGGACCCCACGCTTCTGCCGAATTTCCTCCAGCACCTCGAGTTGAAGCTCGAAATGAATAAAGATTGGTGGAACTCGGAACCTCAACGTATGGGATATGTCGTCTCATGCCTTAAAGGCAAAGCACATGACCAAGTCCGCTACAACATTAAAGATGGGGTGGTTCTCTTCGACGATGTCAATGCCATAAAAACACCCTTCAGTCAGCCTTCGGGATATTGACGCTAAAGCTACCGCCCAACTCAAAATCTTTGACATGAAACAAGGCCATAGATCCCTTACGACATTCCTCCCGAATGGTATGCCGTCGCCAAGCTCACCGACTGGGATAGTGGGGCGCTCATTGCTCACCTCCGACGTGCCCTCCACGACAACGTTATCTGGAGACTTTCTCTCACTAAGGGCAAAGATACTCCTACCGAAATTAGTCAATTTATGGACCTTGTCCGTATCTGCGATAACGAATGCCGTCAAGTCAATGCCAATTACTTCAAGAAAAACACCGACAACTCAGCAAGTCACAATGCAACCTTACAACCCTCCACTACGCCACAATCGACGACCTCTAACGGCGGGGATTCAATGGATTTGAGCGTCATCACCTGGGGGGCCAAAGATGTCGCCTCTGGTCGTAGACCCCAAACGGAAGCAGAGAGCGGCACGCAGAGCCTATTGCACAGCGCATGGACTCTGCCATTGGTGCAGCTCAGGCAAACATCGTTCCTCAATTGCGACACCGCACCATGGAGGACGGAAAAAGTGTAGTCTCCGACGGAAGTCGCCGCAGGAGACGCAAGAAAAAGGGCGATCTACTGCTCTCTTCTCTGGACACTAACCAAGCTCATTTGCTACTGCCTTGTAACCTAATCGAAGACAATTCCACTCTGATTAAAACCGAAGCAATGCTTGACTCAGGTGCCACTGGAAAGGGGTTTGTAGACGAATCCTTCGCGCACGCCAACAAACTCACGCTTTATGAACTACGAAACCGTCGCCGGCTGAACGTAGTCGATGGAAGACCCTCCTCGGCTGGCGATATCACTCATGTGGTGAAACTCAACATGGAAATCAAGGGACACAGGAGAAGATGCTATTTTACGTAACGAAGCTTGGGAAGTACAATGTCATACTCGGAAAACCCTGGCTGACAGATCACAACCCAATCGTCAATTGGAGCACGAATGTGGTCACTTTCAACTCTGATCACTGCCGCAAATACTGCATGGAGAAAGGACAATACCAACTGCCTGTTTCTGGAGCCCTCTTTGTCAATTTCTGCAACCACGACTATACTGGCACGCCCATCAATCCCCGAAGAGTCGGCGCAGCCTGCATTCCATATGCTGACCAAAAACCGCGACGTCGACGTATTCTCACTATCACTGTATGAGATCGACAAAGGCTGGCTGAACTTGGAGTCATCACAGAAGCCTCCACCTTCGTAGAACCTAAAGCACGCCGAAGGGTCCGATTCGACTCTGCACTCACAGACATGGACAAGATGAACCGAGAACTCCAGCTACAGGACGGAATCACCTCCCTTGACCCCAAGGACCAACAAACACAGGAACCCCGAGCTTCCCGGAAAACGGCAGCCGATATGTACCTTTCAGGGGCATCACTCGAAGACATTCACAAAGCCCTCGAACCCAAGACTTTGATCGATCCTGCAACAAAAGTACCCCAACACTACCATGAATTTTTGAAAGCATTCGACCAATCAGAAGCGGATAAACTCCCCACACCGAGACTGCGACCACGAAATTGAACTTCAACCTGGAACGACTCCACCACATGGACCTCTGTACGGGATGTCACAAGACGAACTTCTCGTCCTCCGGAAATTCCTTCAGGAAAACCTTGATAAGGGTTTCATACGCGCTAGCACCTCACCGGCAGCCTCGCCAGTGTTATTTGCAAAGAAACCAGGAGGGGGCCTTCGTTTTTGCGTGGACTACCGAGCTCTTAACGCGATAACCATCAAGAACCGTTACCCCCTACCGTTGATCCAGGAGACCCTTTCCCAGCTAAGCCAAGCCAAGTATTTCACCAAACTCGATGTCGTCGCAGCGTTTAATCGAATCCGCATCAAGGAGGGTCAGGAATGGATGACGGCGTTCAACACAAGATATGGTCTCTTCGAGAGCATGGTGATGCCTTTGGACTATCAAACGCCCCGGCTACCTTTCAAGCTCGAATTAACGAAGTCTTACGCCCATTCCTTGATAGATATTGCACGGCCTACATCGACGACATTCTCATCTACTCAGACGACCTTGCCACCCACAGACTCCACGTCAAATCAGTACTCCAAGCACTTGAAGCCGCAGGCCTACAACTTGACGTCAAGAAATGCGAATTCGAGACTACTGAAGTCAAATACCTGGGCATGATCATCTCAACCACTGGAGTACGGATGGACCCAGAGAAAGTCAACTGTCTCATCAACTGGGAGGCCCCTATCAATGTCAAAGATGTCCAAGCCTTTTTAGGATTCTCAAATTTCTACAGACGGTTCATCAAGGGATTTTCACGCATCGTACGACCACTTGTTGCCCTGACACGGAAGCTAGTCAAATGGAACTGGACTTCATCTTGCCAAGAAGCATTCGATATGCTCAAAAATAGCTTCACTTCAGCGCCAATCCTCAGACACTTCGACCCCGCAAGAGAAGTGTTTGTCGAATGCGACGCGTCCGATTTTGTGTCTTCGGGTATTCTCTCCCAGGAAGACGATCAAGGAGTGCTACACCCAGTGGCTTTCATGTCCAAGAAGTACGACCCGCTGAGTGCAATTACGAGATATATGACAAAGAACTTTTGGCTATTGTACGCTGCTTCGAATGCTGGAGACCCGAACTCCAAGGCACACACCACCAGATTACAGTCATCACTGACCATGCCAACCTTCGATATTTCATGACAACCAAGCAACTTTCAAGACGACAAGTCAGGTGGAGCGAATTCCTATCACAGTTCCAATTCGCTATCAAGTCAGTGCCTGGGAAAGAGAACGGAAAGCCTGACTCACTCACACGGAGATCACAAGACTTACCGAAAGATGAAAATGACGACCGCATCCAGTACCAACAACAGTCGCTGCTTAAGCCTTCCAACATAGACTCCTCTGTACAAGAACAACTAAGGCTTGACCCCGAGCTCTCAGAGCTCTTTGCAAATCTCTCCTGGGAACAAGAGATTGCACTATGTCCCGCCATTCTTGACGAAATTCAGCCAGAACCAATCAACCACAAAATCACAAGACTTCTAGACAAGGGCTATGAGGAGGACGAATGGTGGATGAAAATCAGGGACGAGATGCTCAAACCCCATGGAATTCCCCACTCAAAGGAAGTTTCTCTATCGGAATGCATGATAAACGAAGGCCGATTATATTTCCGAGAGAGGCTATACGTACCCGCAGGCGAACTACGGACCCTTCTCACTCAACTCGCCCATGACAGCGTCGAATCAGGCCACCCCGGGAAAAACAAGCTATACGAACTCATTTCACGCTCTTATTGGTGGCCAAAGCTTAGCGCCGATACGAAACAATTCACACGCAATTGCCACGGATGTCTGAGGAACAAAACCTCCCAGTTGCGGTACCAGGGGACATTGAAACCGCTCCCAATTCCCTTGCAAAGATGGAGAGACTTATCCGTTGACTTCATTGGCCCAATTCAGCGCACAGCTCGTGGATTCAACGCAATCATGGTGGTAGTCGATAGGCTGTCAAAGGACAGACATTTCACGCCCTGCAAGACCGACATGAAAACACATGACTTGGCAACACTCTTCGTACGAGATGTCTGGAAACTCCATGGACTACCGGATTCAATCGTGTCTGATAGAGGACCACTGTTTGTCTCGGAATTCTGAAAGCGGTTTGCCACCGTCTACGGATCAATATCAGCCTTTCTACAGCATATCACCCCGAAACTGACGGCCAGACGGAAAACGCTAACTCATTTCTCGAACAATACCTTCGCCAATATGTTAGCTTTGCTCAGGACGACTGGGACGAGTGGCTCCCATTGGCCGAATTCGCAGCCCGTAACGTTGTCAGCGATTCAACGGGAATGTCCCCATTTTTGCGAACACAGGCTATCACCCCGAATGAGCTTTGGTCCCCTCGCGCAATACCACTCGCGGCATCCAAAGACCTGGCAGAACGCTGCAACGAGGGGAACGAATTTGTCGCCAAGATGCAAGAAATCACTGATCTACTTCGGACAAACCTGCTCTCAGCTCAAGCCTCACAAGAGCAGTTCGCCAACGCAAATAGATCACCGGCGCCAGCTTACCGAGTTGGAGACATGGTGCTACTTAGCACACGCAACATTGATTCAGCCCGACCCATCCCAAAACTAGATCACAAGTTCATTGGCCCTTTTCGAATCGAGCGCGTGCTCAACCCTCACTCCTACCAACTGAAGTTGCCACATGAACTAGACTCAATTCACAATTCATTTCACACCAACCTCCTGCGACCGTCACCAAACGACCCGCTCCCGGCCAATACAACACACCGCCCCACCAATAACGCTAGATGCAAAGGGGGAGAAACTCTGGGCGATTGAAGAAATACTGGACTCGAAACGCACAAAACAGAAAGGCTTCCAGTACCATATACTATGGAGAGGCTTCGACCTTGAGCAGGCAACATCAGTGATCGGAATGGTCCGGTATGGTATGGTATGACCTCTATACCATACCATACCACCTGCTGATATCCTTACCGGTATGGCTTACCGGTAATACCAGTAATACCGCCAAGACCGCTCAGAATGAGGCGGGTTGCAAAAATAGGGAAATGTATTGGCTACTAGCTGTCAACTTGATCGCTTATTCGCTTTCATTCTCGCTATCCCCGCTATCTTCGCTATCCTCAGCCCGAGGCTTCCCATACCAGGCACGTAGACACTCACAAGCCTCTATGATATCTGCCTTAAGCCTACCTCGACGATCAACTATACCAAGCTTTGCGCTACTAAACAGCCGTTCGCACTCATATGACATTGGGAAACCGCAAATAGATCCAGAGCGAAGCGGGCGAGGTCTCTTTGCGAGTCATAACGGGATAGCCAATAGGCGATGGCCTCATCGCAACCTGCCTCCTCGTCATGCAGCCGGTCGGTCGAAATATACTGCTCATACAGATCGGTGGCAGCAGCCGGGCCGTCTATGCGAATGCGCTTATGTTCCCTCTGCCGATCGAATGCTGGGTCTGGATCCTTGTCCTTCCTGACTGGAGGTGGTAGCGCCTCAACAGGGTACTTTCCTTATACTCTGTCTCCCAGAGCTGCTTCACCGCCAGCTGTGCGCTTTCATACCACTTCTGTCTTCCTTCGTCGCCCTGAAGAACCCATTCTTGCCTGAACCATGCCCACTTTCGATACGGATTGAGTACTTGAGCTGCGTAATACGCTGGCGGAAGATCAGTATCTTCAGGAAATCGATGTTGCCAATTCCGTTGTCGGTTGCTGTAATACTCCTCGCACTTTGACCACGCAGCATCTGCACAACCTGGAGATACCTCCACGTGAAGTTGTCGTCGTCGTCTTCCTCGTGAATGTCATGGTAGTGATCCTTCTGTGAGGGAACGATCATGTGACTTTCATACTTTATGAAATGTCTCACTTTGATTCATGTAAATAGCGAAAGTCAGAGTCTTCCTTAGGAACCTCCTTCTCTCTTCGTAGACAATCACTTTACCCAAGTCGCACCCGACCTTGTTCGTGCACTTGTACCGTCACACCTTCGTCTCGTTGATCTCGCGGAGAAGACAGTCCAAAGTCGAAAACCAGTCAGCGAGGGATGTCTTGTTTCCTTCAGCAAGCATAGTTGCCGCGAAGAAGTCTTTTAGTGCGAGCTCGATCTTTCAAGCTCGAACCAGTGCTGTCCATCTAGTTTGAAGTTCGAAATCCCTTGAGACCCTCTCCTGGTACATGACGAGCTGAGAAGATTTCCAAACGTTCTCGAACATTTAACGCTCGTGTGATCGAATGAAACCACGAATTCCAGCGTGTGGAGTTGTTCTGGATAAGCTCGAGCCCATCGAATTCGGAGAGATGGCCGCCGATAATAATTGCTGCAAACTCCTCCCGCCTTTGAGGAGTAAGCCGGATGTACCGCACAAGGTTATGGAGCCGGCCTAAACATCCAAACTTCTTCCACAGCTCCTCTACCTTCACGTAATCTCCGCGCTGGTGGTGCTTTTCAAGCTTCGCCAAATGCTTCTCACAATTTCGACCCATGAGAAACGCCTGGCAGCAGAGGTTGACAATGTGACCCAAGCAGCGCAGTCGGCGATGGCGACGCTGTTGCGGCTTCATCCATGGGCAGAGCTCCTTGAGTATAAACTCAACAGCGGTATCATTGGATGAAGCATTGTCCAGCATGAAGTATCCAATCTGATCTCCGCCAATGTCATATTCCGTCAATAATTCGAGAACGGTCGACCCAAGATTCTCGCCACTGTGCTCGCCATGAACGCGTCGCATGCCCAGGACGGTACTTCGTCGCTTGCCGGTGGCGTCAATCCACATGGCGACGACACCCAGGATTGCGTACGGGTTTGGCGAGGTCCAGAGGTCGAAGGAGATGGAGATTCTACCGCGACCGCTGGAGGTCCTCTTTCAGCTGTTGCTTCTTCGACAGGAACGCATCCATAACCCAACCTCGAATTGTTTTCGCAGCCTTTGGGAGGTGATTAAGTAGAGCAGGGTTCAGAAAGAAGAGTAGCTCTCGGAAGTACTGGTTCTCCAACTGGAAGAAAGCAATATGGCAGTACACAACCCAACGAATCAAAAGCTCTTTGAACCTCTCAACGGTATCTTTCCAGAAAAAATTGCTACTAGCAGCTGCGCAGTGTTGCTAATAATATAAACAATACGTATATTGGCAATATGGACCCCTCGCAATATTATTGTACTGTCAAGAGGTGCGTATTGTATTGCGCAATATGGCATTGGTCCATATTGTATTGTATTGCCAGTGACCCAATATATTGCCAGTAAAACAATATATCCCGTATATCCCACGTGACCCTCATTATTCAACCGTCGTTGCTGAAATATCGTCACCCTGAAAATCCTGTATCCCAAACCATGACTTCAAGCACTCCAATGCCTGAATTACATCACTCCCAAGTCGATTTCGACGGTCTGTGATGGTTATTTTTGCCCCAGAGAAGAGTCTTTCGGGCTCAGCAGACATTGCGGGAATTGACAGTATATCCACCGCCATTTTGCTCAGGTATGGGTAGTTCTTTTGCTGTGTTTCCTCCAGCCACCATGCGAGGGCGCTTGTGAACCCATAAACCCGTTCAGACTTACAATATCGCTCGTACTCGTCTGTGATAAGTGCTGGTTGTAGGTGCTTGTTTCTCCAATTCAAGAACTCGTTCGTGGTCGTCAACGGAACCTCAGATAGAGAAGGCGGCTCCACAGGTTTATAATCATCCCACAGTGTCTCCATCAGCTTCTTTGACGAGTCAGCCCACTCCTTCTTCCAGTTTTCGTGTATGTAGTGCCATTTATGCGAAGGGTGAAGCACAATCGCAGCGACGTAGGCAGGCGATTCGTCAGTAAGACAATAGTACTTATCCATCTTCGCCCAGCCCGAGTTATACATTGGTGCCATAATCGGATCGTCGATATGTGCCTCTTTTCCTGCTTCAAATTGCGCCAATACGAAGTCCATAGCCAAGAGAACATTGTCAAGAGTTGCAAACGATGACTCAAGGGCCTTTGTCGTCATTTTAAGCTTCTCCAAGAAAGACTTGATCTTCTCGAGGATGACCCACTCCTCGGGAGAGCTCGTCTCCGGCACAATCTCCTTCCACCCATTTGTTGAATATCCCTCGACTGCGCCTCTAAGATGCAAGGCCGCTCGTAGCATGGTGTACCACGAACTCCACCTCGTGTCATTATCTCGCGCAAGCTTGCGATTATGGCTGATGGCCAGAAACTTTTGGCGACGCTGAACACTACTTTGGACGAAAACCACGAAGTTGTGGAGCTTGCCAAGGGACCCTTTTCCGCCACGCCTCGATCTCTTTTAGTGTCACATTATGCCCATCACGTTCGTCGTCTTTGAGCTTCTCATTATCGGTAACGAAGAGGAAAGCTTTGGCGGCAAGGTTGATAATGTGACCTTGGCAGCGGAGTCGGTGAGATTTGGGATCGTATCGAATGTCATATCGACGTAGAAGGCCTGTAGATGTTAGGGCCAGTCAGAAAAAACAGTGCGCCGTACTTACCAAGGGAAAGAGATCTCATCATTGTATCGTTATTGCCTGCATTGTCCATCACAAAATATCCAAGGTTGGAAGCAAACCCCCAGTCATCAACCACTTCCAAAATTGCCCTTGCCAGGTGATATCCGTCGTGCTCACTGTCGATGTCTTTCAAAGCCAAGACATGGTGTTCCAACTGACTGTCTTCTGCAACGTAATGAGCAACTACGCCTAAGATGGCCAAAGAGTTGGGGGAAGTCCATAGGTCGCAGCTGATATGAATTTTTGACTTTGCTGACTGGATGCGCTGCTTGACCTTCTCCTTCTGACCTTCGTACTGCCGCATAATCCATTTCTTGATGGTCTCGTGTGTATCTGGAAGCCAAGTATCGATATCGGCGTTGAGGTAGGCTAAGAATGCTCGGAATTCTGGGCATTCCACAAGCCTAAATGGGAGAGAACAGGACGTAATAAACCTTACGTATAAAGCTTCGAGCTGGTCTGGGTCGATCGAGTCTCCGGATTGATCGTTGAGCCGACGGCGTTTTCGGGGATGTTCTTTGGCCATAACACGAGCTATCTCGAGAATAGTTCGTATATTCGTGACTTTGGCTGTTCGTGGCGCGCCTTTTGGGAGGCCGTGACCGTCAGGAGGAGGATCCGTAAGGTGCTTGGCTGGGGCCGCAGTTCCACCGGAACAGCAATACGTTTTGTCACAGTGTTTGCAGCGCCATTCTTCTTTTCCGGTCCGCTGATTGTAGTATTTCGTCTCTATGTCCTCGTCTGGCATATGAGAAAAGACCCATGATGTTCTTGGCTTGGCCGAAGGGTTTATGGAGGCCGTGCGAGGTTGCGACGATTGGCATTCAGTGGTTTGGGTCTCATCTGGATCATGCAACCGTGGGCTGGAAATCTCCGAGTATTCGTCTGATATTGACGAATCCCGTCGCGGCGATGTTTGAACAAAAGGCAGGCGTTGTTGAGGCATCGAGATTGCTTGTAAGTCCTGGGGTGGGAAAGCGGGGTTGAGGAGGAAAACAGTGTTTGGACGGCGAGCCGCTACCCTGTAGGTCTGGATTTATACATACATTTACGCGTTTCCGTGCGCCAATAGGAAGATTTTACGTCCTGGAGGTCCGCCAGACGAAAAACAATACATAGAACATGCTTATATTTACGCGTGTATTTTGACGCGTCATCATATTGGCGCGAATTGGGGAACGGAAAGGCGAATGACCACCAACCAATACAAACAATACAAGCCATATATTGCCAGTATGGAAGGCGCCATATTGTATCGTCACAATATGACGGCGAGCATATTGTATTGGTACAATATGAGAAATCGCGTATTGTATTGTATATACTGCAGTATACTACTTTATTGTCATATTATTAGCAACACTGCAGCTGCGCTTTTCTGTTGCTCCAATACAGACGCCCGTGTCGCACCGCGTTTCCTCAGGCCGCTTTGTGGATCAATCTGGTGCCTCTGTTCGAGATGATTTCTCACTCCCGACGTGCCATTGATCACAAATAACTCTTGCTTATACTTTCCGATCGCACATTCGTGACAGTAGTATACCTCTTTCTTGTCACTGTCTCGGATGTAATGAAGACCGTACTTCCACACATGCGAACGAGCCGAGACGAGCTGCCTTCTTCGTCGTCGTCGCGCGACGCAGGTACGTGACATGGTCTTGTACGAATTCGTCCGGAGGCTCAGGATAACGGACAGAATTAGACGATGGCGTCGTAGCGGAAAAGTGTGGCGCGGGACACGATGCAGGAGATCTGGAGCGGATTGATGCTGAACTTGTCGTAAACGAAGATGGCGAGGTTGGCGCTGGAGATTCCATGATCATGACATACACCAGTTAAGGTATGGTCACTATGGTGGCTTTCGATCATTCGATCTTGGTCCATCGTCCAACTAGCCTAACGTAAAAATTTTCGGGCTCCAACATCACGGAAGTAATTCGATTGAAAGGATCATTTAAGCTTTCCTGTCCCTGAAAGGATCATTTAAGCTTTTCCTGTCCCTCCGACGACGCGATTGACAAGTCTGGCCAGTGATACGTTAGGTCATGCTCCGTCCTACATGGAAGAACTCATAAAACTGGGTGCAATGAGAAGTACTTTCTAATACGCACTAACACTAGCCTTACCTTCGTGCCTTCCTGGGATAGCTACCCGGCAGCAAAGACGAAAAGCATCCGTTCGGTGCCGGATCGACCTGACCAAGGTAGCCAGGTCGATAACTTATTGTGAGGATGATGGTATTCATGATTGAATGGAGTAGATAAACTGGCAGAAAACTGGTCAATAAGCCCTACAGATGACACTGGAATCATCGCCGCTCGGATTCTGCCTGGTCATTCTCCGCAGTGAGCCTCTTACCTGAGCTTATTTTTAGCGTTACTGGTATGATTCGGTATACCGGTAATACCATGGTATCAAGTTTTTGTCAAACCATACCAGGTCTTGGCGGTATTTACCATACCAATACCAACTCATACCGGACCATTCCGATCACTGGGCAACATGGGAACCACTACACAACGTCGTCAACGCTCACATCGCCATCAAAGAGTTCGAGAAGCACAACAAAAACAAACCCAGACCGACGAAACAAGAAGCGCAAAATGCTCGCCTACAGGCTCAGCAAGACGTGGAAGAATCAGAAGCGATGGAGTAAAGGAGGCCCATGTGTGAGGAACGATCATGTGACTTTCATACTTTATGAAAGGTCCCGCTTTTATTCATGTAAATAGCGAAAGTCAGAGTCTTCCTTAGGAACCTCTTTCTCTCTTGTAGACAATCACTTTACCCAAGTCGCACTCGACCTTGTTCGTGCACTTGTACCGTCACAGTTACCAGGCAGACATACGCGAACGATCTACGACTCACTTAGTGGGAAAGAAGCGAGAGTACTTGCGCAACTTCGCACAGGCAAATCGAGACTCAATAGTTACCTTCATGGAATACAGGCGGCAGAAAGCGACCTATGTGGCTGTGGTCAAGCAATCGAGACAGTGGAGCACTTCCTCTTTCGATGTAAGGCATGGATCTATGAAGAGAAAGCATGATGAAATGCAATCGAACCAAGATGGGAAATCTGTCTTTCTTCCTAGGAGGAAGTCGATGTCCGATGGCGACAAATGGAAGCCGAACCTACCAGCAGTACGCGCTACGATCAAATTCGCGATGGCAACCGGGAGACTAGACACGGACCAACGATGACAGTACTGGCAAACCAGAGTGCACAGTACTAGCACCATACAGCCTCTCATTGACAGACCGGGCTTCAGCTGCTGAGAATAGGATGCTGAACACTTGGAGAAATGGGCCTTCAAGCAGGCCTGTCAACGGCGAAATTGGAGGCTGAAATGTACGGATAGGAGCAAAATGTGGGGCTTCTGGGTGTTGCAGTCGAAAGTGGAGGATCTGTAAATAGCTGAGTGTCGCGGCCCTCTAGGGTTGGTCCCTCCGGGCGGAATAAATTGCATTGCATTGCATTGGCTCCCGTAGACCCAGCCGAAGAATACGAAGCGAAGATCCTTCCGCCCGCGCTCTCAGCTTGCTGAGAGTTCTTCATATTTCTTTACTCTGGGGTAGGTGTGGCTCTTGATTGCCATCATGGCAGAGCCTGAAGTGGCGCCTCCGGCCGACGTGGGGGCGGGGCTGGATCCAACTAGCCCGTCGCCATTGACGCGTCCGACGCGAGTGAGGACGCCCAGCGCACGAGTGCAGGATACGTTACGATCGTTGGAAAGTGCGACCGCGAGAGCTCCCAAGCGTGTCTCGACCCGAACGACGCGAGTCATATCGGTGGGCAACGAAAGCGAAAGAGGCGACGAGGTGAAGTCACGCAGCAATGTGGAGACCGCCAAATCGATGATGCAAAGGGTTCTAGAGATGCTGGCGAAGATGGGAAGCGAGATGGTGGAGCTGAAACATCGAGTATCCGAGCAAAGCGACACGATCAGGAAGCTGAGCGCCACGGTGTACAAGCAAAGCACCACCATCCAGGGACAGGAAGATCTGATCCGAGGCTTGAAGCCCAGGTCCAGGAATCCAAGGAAGAGTTTCGACGTAAGAGCGAAGAACACGACAAGCAAATGAAACAGGAGCACCGGGATCTTAAGAGAGAATTGGTCGGAATGAAAGAGCAACTAGATCAGCTGATGCAAAAGCTGGATGTATCGGGCGAGGTGGCTTTGCCAAGCGGCCCTCGAGCAACGTTTGCGGACGTCGCGCGCGCCCTGCCAAACAGCCCGCCCTCCAGTACACGCAGCATACCTGGTCCAACCAAACAGCAGACAGCCAACGATTCTGTCCATTGTACCATTGACACGTCTCGTGTAAGTGAGCCGAACAGGAACAAAGCGCAAATCGGGCAGATACGACAGGCCATCGAGGTTGAGATGAGAGCGAAGAACGGACATGAGACCTGGAGGTGCGCAGCAGTTGTGAGAGAATCCCGGAATGCCGACCGAATCAAGATCGTCTGCAGAGATGAAGCCGAGCTTCAGCTGGTCAAAGAGGCGGCGCAGAAGACAGCCGTGGAGGAGCGCGAATCATGAGAGACCAGCTGTATCCGGTCCGGGTCGACAACGCCAACCGGACAGCAATCCTCGACACGGAGGGCAATATCCTGCCCGGAGCGATCGAAGCTTTGAGTGCCGAAAACAGAGTGACCATTGGCAAGATTTCCTGGCTGAGCAAACGAGAGTCTGGTAAAGCCTACGGATCCATGGTAGTATATGTCACCAAGAAAAGCGATGCAGAAAGGCTTCTGGACGGTGACTACTTTGACCTAGCGGGAGAGTCGGCCACCACTTATAAGTTCGAGCCAAGAACGGGACCGATCCAATGCTTCAATTGCCAGGAGATCGGTCACAAAGCATATTCATGCAAGAAGCAGCGGACATGCGGCAAGTGCGCAAACGCTGGGCATCACCACCGAGAATGCACAGCGATTGAGCCAAAATGCGTCCCGTGCGGCGGACCGCATGAGTCGTTTAGCTGGAAGTGCAGGATGAGGAACCCGAGCAGCGATGCTTGAGTCCCTCCGCATCCTACAGCTGAATGCACACAAGAGTGATGTGGTGCAGCAGAGTCTGATGAACGACGAAGACCTGAAGGATTTTGCCGCACTGGCTATATCTGAGCCACATGCGCGCAATATCGACGGAAAGGTGGTGACGAGTCCTATGGGACACCATAACTGGACAAAGATGATTCCGACGTGTGTTCGTGACGCCCTATGGCCGATCCGCAGCATGCTCTGGATCCGAAGTGACCTTGAGGCGGAGCAAGTGCCTGTGCCGTCGGCCGATCTCACAGCAGCGGTACTCCGACTTGAGGAAGGAGGTGATGGTGGTGTCAGTGTATGTGCAAGGAAAGAACGACGAGGCGCTGACGAACGCGATGGAACTATTGCGCGACGTGATCGATCGCTTCCGCAATGGGACAGGAGACGCACCGATGTGGTTTTGGCGGGGACTTCAACCGCCACGACCTCCTCTGGGGCGGAGATGAAGTGTCAGCGAGCAGACAAGGGGAGGGCGAACCCATCATTGACCTGATGGACGACTTTGGTCTTAGCAGCCTTCTCGCGAGAGGGACGAAAACGTGGCAGAGGTCGGACGAGGAGAGCACCATCGACTTGGTGTTGGCATCGGCGGAACTGGCGGACGAGTTGACATCCTGCGTGATTCATCCAACAGAGCACGGATCAGACCATAGAGCGATCCAGACGACATTCGACATTCGAGTGCCGGAGCGTACCTTTCCGCAGCGCCAGATGCTCAAGAACGCGCCGTGGATCGCCATCGCAACCAGGGTCGAGGACGAGCTTCGGCCTCTTCCGTGGACTGTGGGGGTGCAGACGCAGGCGGATCAGCTCATGCGGGTGGTCACCAAGGCGCTTCGAGATCTGACCCCTCAAGCCCAGCCGCCGCCATACGCGAAGCGATGGTGGACAAAGGACCTGACGCAACTCCGTCGGACGTACACGTATTGGCGCAATCAAGCAAGGGCGCAGCGAAGAGCCGGTCAATCGCGGCCGGATCTGGAGCAGCGCGCCAAGGAGGCTGCGAAGGAGTACCACGACAATTTGCGGAAACAAAAGAAGGCCCATTGGGATGACTTCGTCATCGAAGGGAGCAACATCTGGAGGGCTGCCAAGTATCTGAAGCCTGGTACGGAGATGACGGATGACAAGGTGCCCCCGCTGAAGAGAGCCGACGGCTCGATCACTGAAAGCAAGGGCGAGCAAGCCGAGGAACTCCTGAGCACCTTCTTTCCGCCTCTGCCAACGAGGATTGAGCCGGAGGGTGAACGTCCGCAGAGACAAGAAATAGCCATGCCAGACCTCACCTTGCAAGAGATTGAGGAGAAGGTGATGGCGGCGAAGCCCTGGAAAGCGCCTGGTGAGGATGGCCTTCCTGCGATCGTGTGGAAGAAGCTCTGGCACGTGGTCAAGCACCGGGTGTGGACGCTCTTCAGCTCATCGCTCCGAGAGGGCGTCGTGCCTCATCAATGGCGAACGGCTAAGATCATTCCCCTGAGGAAACCAGATAAAGGGGATTACACCTTGGCCAAGGCGTGGCGACCGATTTCTCTCTTGTCAACGCTTGGCAAAATCCTGGAAGCAGTCGTTGCGGAACGTATCAGCTATGCAGCAGAGGCTCAAGGGCTTTTGCCCGCGAACCACTTTGGTGCACGGAAGCGCAGGTCCGCAGATCAAGCACTTGTGCTTCTACAGGAGCGGATCTACAAGGCCTGGAGAACGGGCAGAGTGCTCAGCCTCATCAGCTTTGACGTCAAAGGCGCATACAACGGAGTGTGCAAAGAGCGAATGCTCGAAAGGATGAAAGCCCGAGGCATCCCGAGTCGTCTGGTCAAGTGGATAGACGCATTCTGCTCGGGACGGACCGCGTCGGCGGTTGTCAACGGGCACACATCCGAGCAACAAACCCTGCCGCAGGCCGGCCTACCCCAGGGATCCCCTCTGTCGCCAGTGGCTTTTCTTTTCTTCAACGCAGACCTGGTGCAAAGACGGATCAGTAACAATGGCGGCTCCATCGCCTTCGTGGACGATTACTCTGCCTGGGTCACGGGGCCAACGGCAGAGTCAAACAGAGATGGTATTCAATCGATTATCGATGAGGCGCTTGATTGGGAGAAGCGCAGCGGCGCCACATTTGAAGCAGAGAAGACATCCGTCATCCACTTCACACGCATCGCGGAGCGCGACAGCGACCTGCCTCTCATCATCAAAGGAAACGATGTCAAGCCGAAGAGCAACGTGAAGCTGTTGGGAGTCATCATGGACAAGGCGCTTCGCTTCAAAGAGCACATCGCCAGAGCAGCCGCCAAGGGGCTGGCCGCGGCCATGTGCTTGAAACGACTGAAGATGGCCTCGCCACGGATGGCGAGGCAACTGTTCGTAGCGACGGTGGCGCCAGCCATGGACTATGCCTCAAACGTGTGGTCGCACGCGTGCGGGGTGAAAGAAGCGGCGTGGATTGGCAGGGCCCAGCGAATCGGAGCCCAGGCTGTCACGGGAGGCTTTCGCACAGTGGCAACGGTAGTGGCCGAGGCCGAGGCCGGCGTGCAATCGTTCCGAGAACGGCATACTCAAGCGGCAGCGAAATTCTGGATAAGGATGCGGACGCTCCCGAAGACGCATCCTCTGACATCGTTGAGGCTCAAGCTGAACAGGAGGTATGCGTCGCCAATGCAGAAGCTCGCCTCGGCGATGGGAAGACTAGATACCAAACGCCTGGAAGTCATCCACGAGTTCGCACTGGCGCCGTGGGACGAACGAGTGCAGGCAACGTATGAGGCAGACCGAGCGGAGGTGCTGAAGTCGGATGACCCGGAGGACATCACTATCGCGACGTCCAGCTCGCAAAGGAAAGGCAAGGTCGGGTTGGGAGGCGTCGTTCGGGATGCTTCCCGTGACAGCGCAGACGAGGTGCTGGCCAGCTACTCCGTCACCCTTGGCTCCAGTGATGAGCAGAATGCCTACACAGCAGGACTCGAGGCAATCGCCATGGCCCTGAGGTGTGTTCCTCTAGGTCTTCATGACCGACAGCTCACAGTTGTGACAAGCAACCGCTCCGTCCTGCAAGTCATCGGGCGACCGCGGCAGCAGTCTGGTCAGTGCACGATACGGGCGATATACGGATCTGTTGAGTATCTTGCGAAAAGAGGCTGCAGAGTCAGACTTCGTTGGGTGCCTGCAAAGAATGAGGAGTTCACCCTTGGGCCACTGGCCAAAATGCAGGCGAAAAGAGCGACGCGAGATGAATGCATCGCTGAACCAGCAACGTTTCAGGCAAGAGCAACGACGTTACGACTGCTGCTCAACGAACACACTCGCGTTCGTCAGATCCCAGAAAGGGGAAAGCACTCAAAGCGCATCGATAAAGCATTGCCGGGCAAGCACACCCGCAAGATGTACGACGAGCTAACTAGAAAGGAATCTGAAGTGTTGGTACAACTTCGAACTGGCAAATCACGACTGAATGGCTACCTCTGCAAAATCGGGGCAGAGGAATCGGATGAGTGCACCTGCGGACAGTCGGCGGAAACGGTGGAACATTTCCTCTTTCGATGCAGAAGATGGACGGTACAACGAGAAATCATGCTTCGATATGCTCGCGGAAAGATGGGAAACCTGTCTTTCTTCCTAGGAGGCAAGGCAGAGTCAGACGACGACAAGTGGCAGCCCGATATGGGGGCTGTACGGGCGACAATACAGTTCGCGTTGGCAACGAAACGCTTCAGTATGGACCGACGAGGGACCATGTACTGATCAAGGGATAATCATACTAACACAACAGCCTTCAACTTGGCAGACCGCGCTTCAGTCGCTGAAGGTAGGACGCTGAACACTTGGAGAAACTGACCTTCAAGTAGGCCTGTCATGGTCACAGCGAACGAGGCTGGAAACAGATGAAAAGAAGCGTGGGGCTTCAGGTGCGATGGAACCATGTACAGTAGGTACGTAGCTTAGCGTAGTGGCTCTATGGGGGAACCCTCCGGGCGCAATACAAAATAATAATAATAATAATTGGCTCCCGTAAAGTAACGATGGTCTTCAACCAAACAAAGCAAGATCCTTTGGCTTACTCGGGGTTACTTGAGCTTACTCGGCTACCTTTCCGTTTTAGGCAAGTCGTTGGAAAACCCCCTTTTCTATTGAGGTCACGGCACGAAACTGCAGCCCCCATCAATCTACCTCATTGATGGTAGGCACCTATGTGCCTACAGATACGCATGCGCACAAGCTGTAGGCTGAGTCACAGTCACGACAGGTAGGGTAACCGGTGATGACTTCAATTGTAACTAACTAGGGAAGAGGAAGCTATTCATAAGAAACGGAATGTGCACCGGTAATGGGGGCATGCAGCCGGGGCTGCGTGCCCTGATCGCGGGGTAGGGTGTCACGTGGGAGTCGTGCATGAACCGTGATGGTATCCCGATTGCACGGGTTACTCAGCAGGTTAGTATTCCAACACTCATGTCTTTTGCTGCCAGGAACTCTGGCGCAGGACAAACCCCAAGTCAATAATGCCTTCAAATCCAACCCTTCAGCGTAAGGGGTGGGCTGGAAAGACTACATCCCCCTCTGAGCCGATCGATTCTGCAGAGTTCAATACCCACAGCTCGCCGAGCTTGGCAGGCTTGCAAACAAATAAATCGTAATCAAATCTATCCAAATAAATCCAAATCAAATCAAATCAAATTGAAGAAAATTTTATTCAAATCAAATCAAATCATAAGGCCTTGATTTATTTGGATATTTGAATTCATTTGGATAAGCTACTACTGTCCAATCAGCGCTTTGGGTCAGCCCCAGTTCTCCTGCCCAATTTGGCAATCGGTTCGCATCTCGCAATTTACCTGCCCAGATTATTGTAAGGGCTTGATTCCCGTACCAGCGTCATGTTCAAGTCACGAAAAATCTTCAAGCAGCTTCGTCCACAGAGAGCAAAATTCGCTTGAGGGTACAGTCTAACCGGCTGAACATCGCAGTTTCAACTTTCACCGTTCGACTACTCCCTGCAGGGAACCATTCAGATGGCTCCGTCTACGACTCCTGACATTGCAGCAACAATGCTTTTGACTGCTCCTTCGACCACTCCCAGTGACCTTGAAGATTCCCCTGGTTTCGATGCATCTGCCACCAACAGAGAGGCGACAGTAGATACTTCATCCTCGGTTGACTACACTGGTTATGAAGGCATCGATTGGAACCGCCTTTCAGGGTATTGTATCCGGAAACACAGACGAAGGCAGCGGACGGGATGGGTATGGGAGTATGGATTCGACATCGAGAAAGATGGTTCCGGCCGCAGATTCTGGCTCTGCAAAGAGTGTCACTCAAAGAAAGCCACAACCACTCATATGTACGACGCTGCATCCACGAGCCAAGCAAACAGTCATATGGAAGATGTCCACCGCATCAATCGAGACGGGCCTATGTCACCACAGAGGAAGAAACAACGCACTCTCTTCGACATGGCCAGTCTAGACTCGCATCGACCGAAGGATCAAGCCTTGATGAAAGCCTTCATTGCGTCGTTCGATCCTCTCCACTTTCAGAATTTGCTTATACGCTGGGTGGCCTGCGACAACGTCCCCTTTCATAAGCTTGAGAGTCCGTACTTCCGCGAGCTTATGGAGTACGTAAATAGTGCTATTATTGAGTCGGGAAGCCTCCCTACCCATAGCACTATTCGCGAATGGATTATACGGTCCTTTGACCGTCACAAAGGCGTCGTGACTGAGCTCCTTGGTCGTTCGCTTAGCCGCATCAACATCTCCTTTGATGGGTGGTCCTCTCGCAAGTTTACCTCCCTCCTCGGCCTCACAGTACATTTTCTTGATGACGAAGGGAACTTCCGAACCTTCCTTTTGGGCTTGCCGCAAATCGAAGGCCGTCATACCGGGGAGAACCTTGCAGACCGCGTCAGCGAAATTATTCACGAATATGGGTTAGAGGATTGCATCGGGTACTTTGTGACAGACAATGCAGAGAGTAACGACACATGTCTGGAAGACCTAGGCGTTGAGTTTGGCTTCAATAAGCAGCACCGACGGCTCCGTTGCTGTGGGCATATTATTAATCTCGTCGCCCGATCTATTCTTTTCGGCGCCGACCCCGACGCCTTTGAGGAGGACTGCCAAGCCCATAAAGAGATTCGAGATGAGATGAAGCTCTGGAGATCGAAGGGCCCAATTGGAAAGTTGCACAATATTGTTCACTGGGTGCAAAGATCTGGCCAGCGCATTGAAAAGCTCCACAAGCTCCAGCTTATTGAGAACACCGCCTTGAACCTTGAAGACAAGACAACATACGATGTCATCTCGGATAATGCCACACGCTGGAACTCATCGGAGGCGATGATGCAGAGAGGCTACCATCTCGGAACACGCTTGATTCCATGGTTCAGGCAGAAGTTACGGAATGGAACCAATACGTCGCCAGGAGGACTCAGAACGGGACAAAGCCGATGCCAAAGAAGAGTAGGAAGAAGCCGGCCATTGTTGACGATAAGATGTCTGTTGAGGACTGGTCAGTGATTGCGGAGTATCTGACCATATTGAAGCCGTTGAAGATAGCTACCAAACGTCTAGAAGGCCGACCTAAGGAAGGTGAGCTGGACGTAGCTTCTCGTGGCAAGGGTTATGCTTACATGTTTTAGGTAAATTCGGTGCGATTTGGGAGGTTTTACTAACGATGGAGTGGCTTCTGAAGATTTTGGAAGAGTCAAAGTTGAAACATGAACGAGATGAAGAACCGTACCTACGCATTGGTTGCAATCTGGGCTGGATGAAGCTTGACCAATACTACAGCCTAACCGAAGATAGCCCCGCATATCTCGCCGCCCTTGTCCTCCATCCTGCCTTTCGCTGGTCAACTGTCGAGTCACAATGGGCAGACCATCCTGAATGGTTGGTGAGAGGAAAGGCAGCTGTACAAGGGCTATGGGAGGAGTATCGAAACCTCCCTGTGGAGCAGGATACGATACCCGAGCAACCCACTATTGCAACCAAAACAACCGACTTAGATGACTTTATGGCTTCGGTCAGAAAACTTGGCACTCAGTCTGCACCTTTACTATCAGCTGTGCGCGATGAGTACGCAGAGTGGGTGGCTACTACCGATCCGGGCGATTGTTTGGTGGAAAATCCGATCCAGTATTGGCTTCTCCGAAGACGCCAGTTTCCGCGTCTGTCGCGGATGGCCATTGATCTCTTCTCAATTCCAGCGATGTCTTCCGAACCGGAGAGAATATTCAGCCTTGCAGGACAGATGGTTACATCTCAGAGAGGCCGACTCCGCGCCGATATCATAGGAGCAGCTCAATGTTTATCGTCTTGGGAGAAAAGTGGGGCTATCCAAATATCCAAATAGATCCAAATTGTTGGTAGGTCTCAATGCATGCATGCACAGATGATAGAGGTAACTGGTGTGTTGTAATCGTCTATGATCTTCTAGGAAGGGAGGAGGCCACGAAGCTAGCTATGTGGCCTCAGCTATCCTCAGCCGTACACGTGATAGCGCACGTGAGCTAGCTAGATGAGTACAATGGGTTACTACAATTCCCACACAAATCGATCCAAATCAAATCAAATCAAATCAAATCCAGGAAAAATTTATCCAAATCAAATCAAATCGACCCTCCAATTTGATTTGATTTATTTGTTTGCAAGCCTTCCAGCTTGGTCTCAACTCCAACCAGTGTGCCACGTTATGGCGCTTCTCCCGCGACCGTTGCACACGAAAGAGAGGTTCCAAAAGCTTCTCAGTACCATTTCCCTATCCAGTGGGACAAAATCCGTTACGATGGGAAGCCAGTCCCATCCATCCGATATCGTCAGCCACATAAGCGCACCATCAACACCAAAATCCAGCCCTCGGCAATCTACAGACATGGCGCACAGCTTACGACAGACGGGAACAACAAATACTGGCTCTGCAAATACTGCCATGTTAGTGGCCATCACATTGCTGCGCTGTTTGCCAGTGAGAGCACGACCAGCATCATCTACCACCTGAAGCATCAGCACAAACTGGAAGAATTTGGATACAAGGCAGCAGGGTCCAATCCCTTCGCCATGGCCAAGGGAACAACAAGCCCCACATCGTATCTCGGAGGCCGCCGCCTGGTATTCAATGACCTGCAATTTAAAGACGACTTTACCGACTGGGTGATCGATCTTGATCTCACCTTTCGTCAAGCAACCCACCCATAAACGCACCTACGAGATTTTTACCAACTATCTGGAAGACAGCGACAAGATTCTGCCCAAGAGCCCGTCAGCTCTTAGCAACTGGATCAAAGAGAAATGGTTTGGTGATTCTGGGAGACGTGTTTGGCTGAGGGAAAAGCTCCATCTCACCACAAGCAAGATTCATGTCTCGACGGATGCATGGACATCTGAAGAAGGGACAAACTATCTAGCTGTTGTTGCTCACTTCTTGGACGAAGGACATAAGCTACAAACATCGCTTCTGGATCTTCTCCCTCTGAAAGGCCCTCACTCCGGCGAGAATATTGCCAAGGTGCTGTCAACAGTCATCGATTTCTACGATATCTCCCAAGTCATCGGCTTCTTTATGATGGACAACGCTAGCAATAATGACACGTGCATTCGGCAGCTAGCAGAGCAGTACCCTACAATCAACCGTCAGAGTCGCCTTCGGTGCGTTGGCCACATGCTGAATCTCATCGCGAAAGCTCTCCTTTTTGGGCAAGGCGTTAGCAAGCTGGAGCAACGGCTCCGTGGCGCATCTGATGATGAGCGGTTTGAGATATGGAGGAAACAAAGCTTTGTCGGAAAACTCCACAACTTCTGTACGTGGATCAACAGAAGCGACCAGCGACGGGAACGACTGAAACAGTACGTTCTGCAGGCGTACAACGAAGGCTGCATCGAGCACCTCTACACTAGAGTCCTGGTCGATGGCGGCATCCGCTGGAACTCTGTATATTTCATGATTGAAAGGGCTCTAAAACTTCGCCACGCCATTGATCTATTCTTCCTCAACTACAGCCATGTCAAGGGAGAATATGATATCTCACAGGATGCCCTTACTCCACAAGATTGGACAGATTTGGGCCACTTCCTCGACATCTTAAAGCCCTTAAAGGATCTAACAAAACGCATGGAAGGCCGGGCAAACAAAGCTGGCCTAGAAGGATCACATGGCTCCCTCCACGAAACGATCGAGTCGCTTGATGTCCTTTTCAAGAAGCTCCAGGAGGCTGGAAAGTTTGCAGATGATCACCCTAACGTGGTGTCAACATATTATTCCCATGCTATCGATGCTGCTCGCATTAAGCTTGAAGAATATTTTGGCCTCACAGATGCCACGCCTGCCTACCGATGTGCTGTTGCCCTACATCCAGCAAACAAATTTGCTTACTTCGAGCTTGAATGGAGTCACAACAAGAAATGGATCAGCGAGGCGAAGCGAGTGGTGCAGGAGGCTTACGCACAATACGAGGAAGCAGCTGCGGAAGTGGACCCAGAGGGAGCAGGACAACAACAGGAGGAGGAGGAGGCAGAAGAGGAAGAGGAGGCTATTGCTAACAGGATGACGCTTGATCCACTCCAGCAAGCTCGTAAGCGTCGTCATAGGGTTGCTGCCATTGCGGCGTCAGCCACACGAGGGAAGCGGAAAAAGCTGACATCTGAGCTGGATGAGTTTATGGCCAGGACAAATAAGGCTGATCTGGATGTTGAGGATCCTCTGGAGTGGTGGGTTCGCCATACATCTGATTACCCGATCCTGTCCAAGATGGCCTTTGACTTGTTCAGTTGCCCAGCAATGAGTGCTGAGTGTGAACGTGTTTTCTCACAGACAAAAAAGGTCATCACAGACGAGCGAAATCGACTGAATTCAGGTACTGTCGCAGCGATTGAGTGTCAAAAGCACCTGCTTCGAAGCAATATGTTGCCATAGATGATAGATCTGCCACTGGCAGCCAGATTAGGAATAGCAGTCAACCAAGGTCAACCAACCAAGCAAAGCAAGCCCCTCTCGTCAAGTAAACCAAGTAAAGCAAAGGGTCCGGTCAACCAAGTCAAGCAAAGGGGTCAAATCTTGCTTTACTTGGTTGATGGACACACTGACGGAGCGTAACCCAGAGATTCTTGGCGAAGAGTCCATGCAACCAAGTTGGCCTCCTGGTCTCTGGATACGAGTTTTCCAGGCTGTTCCTGGTCGGTTAATGCCGACTGACCTCGCATTCTGCTGGAAATAGTACTCTGGGGTATCCCCCATTTCTGAGAAGCCTGGCGCTGCGACAAACCGTTATCAGTGACATCGAGGGTTGCCTCAGCCATCACGTTCTCTGTATAGATCAAACGAGGCCTTTTTGGAGCCATTTGTGACAGGTGGTGGAGGATGAGCAAGAGTGGAAAGCAAAGGAGGCAGGAGGAGATTAGGGGTTGAAATTGCCATTTTGCGATGCCGGGGTGTCACGGGCCACGACACCTGTGGTCATCATCTGACCTCACAAAATGTAAGTTCAGTCATTTCTATACCCGCTACAGGTGACTGTTCGTCAAAAGCTTTAAAATTGAGTAGATTCTGTATAAGTGAAGTTGGTCCAATTTGTATGGAGCGGCAACATTTTTGCGGAGCATAAGGGGGGGGTGAGCAGAAGGGGGGGGTAAGCATGGTAGTTAGTTGTATCAACTCACTAGAGGCCTTTCACACCGAGATAGTTCAGGCTGTCAATCGCGCTTTCGGCGCTACGGTTGCGATCGCCGACCAAGTGAGATAGCTTTTGTGTAGAACTTGCTACAATTTGACTACGATACAATTTTCTACTGAGTCGGTGGTCGAGTTCAAGGCTTGCTGCTTCTCACTGTCCGAGTCAGCCGATGCCTCCAGTAACTGTATCAACATACGGATTCTTTCGGCAGAGCCAGCCAAGACATCCCGGGCCACGATAGAGCCGGAATGTGCGCGACGCTTGCCCATTCCCCTCTTCTTCGCCTTTGCCTTTCGCGCCTCGACGCCTCTCAAGGCTGCTTTGGCAAAGCTGTCCGTGCACTTCATCATTTCGCAATCCCATAACAGCTGCATCGCTTGCTCGACCACCAGAGAGCTTCGCGTTGTCCTCCAACCCGACCGTATTGGCAGGCGACGAAATGTAGCAGTGCTCCAGCATGGGTAAGCTCAAGCTGCCCATGGCATGGCCTTCTGGATCCACATTTCTAGGATCCTTGTGCCGGGAAGGCAGCAGCAAATGGAACAGCTTCTTGATGATGGTGACATATGATGCGGGTAGCAGTGGGTTCTCTCGTCGTGACACAAACAGAGCAAACATCTGCAGAGGGAGCAGCTTGATGCCTGCCGCAAAGCCATCGTGGAGCTGGTTAAGGTCCAACCGCCAGCGAAGCACCGAGGTGGCAGCAGAGAGAAGCTTGAAGAACCTCAGTCGGAGACGTATTGATTCGACTAGACCGGGATTCGAACAGCCAAACGAGACATCCCTGCTCGCGCCGCGGCGCTTTTCCGGCGTTGGCGGCTCAGAAATACTGGATGATATCGAATCAGCATCAAAGTAGTCGCCGAACTTGTCGCTTTTCAGGTCGAGGGCTTGCTCCCATTTCCGTTTTCTCGACGCCTTCTTAGGCCCCCTTAGCTCCTTTTCGAACACCTCCAAGAAGGCAGATAAGGATTGGCTTCCCCCGTCGGCAAAGAGCGCGTTCATAATTCGCTTGTGTCCCGTCTGACGACCGTCCTGATTCATATACATGTAAATCATGGATTCCGTGCGCCACGCAACGGACTCGTGTCCGCGCTTGCCACTGGTTTCGTGGGCCTCCTGATCAAGTCTTCCCCTCTCGGCCCAGTCGGCATCGAGGACGTCGAGCATGAACCCGAGCCACACTTTCCAGTAGCGCCACCGGTGAGGATGCACTGTCGCCGTGTTGAAAGCCCAGCCCACCGTGGACCACAAGTCCTGGCCTCGGCTCCAAACACTCGCCTCATTTGCCATTGCACCCCGCAACTGATCCAGGTCGCCGTTCGAGTCGCCGTCGGACATGTCGCTATCGCTGGCAGAGCCAGGACGATCGGATTGGCGGGCCCATCTCGGTGTCGAGTGGAACTGGAAGGCGACGCGGAATCCGGCGTTGATGGGTCCAGCGATGGTCAGGACGTTGCGCAAGTAATTAAGCGCCAGGGAGGACACGATCAGGTGATCCGGCTTGTCTGCACGAGTCGTATGCAACGGATGAATAACCAGCGTGCCCAAAAGTGCGAGATGGCTAGGGGGCGGCACCGGCACGGTCTTGCTGGTTGGAACTTGCCGGGAAATGCCGGAGCCTAGCATGCTGTTGAGCAAATTGATGGCACAAGTATCTAAAGCCTCAATCAGTCCCGTCTCCCCCGAGAATAAAAGAACGCGCGAATAGAAAGACGGAAAAGGGTGCCTATACGGATTTGTTCTTCGAGAAAAATCTGGCAATGGTCTTTGAGCTCGCGAGGCAGCTGTCGCGCCTCACTGTACGGACAGGGAGTGACAGGACTGCTGGATGTTGCCGACCCTTGCGTCTCCGAGTCCTTTGCCGCGTAAAAGGAAGCCGGCGACGAGTTCCGGGTGGTAGGCGACTTGGTCACCATGGCCAGACCGGGAGGGCTTCGGGCTGAATGGAGGCTCCGAGGTCGTGGTGAACTTGCGACGTCGCTACCTTATGGCTTTGAAGCACAGTGGATGCAGGTCCAGGAAGGGGTCACGGCAACCTGTCGCCGTGAGAGCACGTTAGCGGACTCCGGCGGCCAAATTCACGTAACGCTTCTGTCGAGTGGTAAATGCGGTACTGATGAGGTCCCTTTTCGTAAACGTGGTGAGATCTAGGCACGTGGCGACAAGGAAGTTCTTGCTTCGGCGGTAAATAGATTTTCCGTGACGCGTGGCGCGTGGCGCGCTTCAAAACCTGCGAGATTTTGATGAGACCATTACTTCCACCTTCTCCAACGCGCCTTTGTCTTTATGTTTCAGATCGCTTCTCTCCCTTCCGTATTCCGACTCCGCGTCTTGAAAAGTTGGAAGATATGGTTGAAACACGAAAGGTACGCTGTCACATCATCACAAGCAATCTCAATCGACGCATGCCAGTGACCAATAAACAGCATGCGTCTTCACCCGTAGAGGTCGACCAGGACAATCCGACAAAGAAGGCTCGTACGACAGCCAAATCCAAGAATGCCGTCAAGAATGTTGGCACTTGCTCGATGGACAAGAAGCAGATTGGAGACCGCGTTAAGGCAGCATTGGCTTTAAATAAGTACTCGCTTAATCGGACAGTGATAGATGCAAGTCACCACCTTGTTTCCATCGGACACAAGCTAAGACCTGACAGCTCCAAATGGACACAGCCTTCTTCCGCACCTTGTTCGTCGATAACGACAAGCTGAGCAAACCACTGCCGATTACCCCTACAGAGTTCGACGACACTACCCCCGTGGTCGCCGTGGATCTCATCCATCACCAAGCAGGCGAATTGCTCGGAGTCAGCAAGGTTAAGGGAGGAAATAGGTTGGCCACGACGCACTTGGCGGCTATGTGTGTTGTGTTCTATCCGAGTCGAGGCACGGCAAAGATATGGCTGTCTGTGTAGTGTCTGGACTACTGCATGTGGTGGGTTTATAACTTCTGTGCATATAGAGCGTTCTGGGCGTGCAATGGCATGAGCAGCTGCCAGCTGCAGTCTGAGACTTCAGCGGGACATATGTCGTGACTCCGCTCGGTACTATTGCCTATCCCGGCCGGCTGTCAACGAGGAGAAGGTGTCGTAGGCCGGGTGGGGTTTTGGTGAGGCAATGTGTTGTCGGAATCTGCGTATACCGAGGACATCCCTACAGTCATCGAATGGTATAAAAGCTCCATAATATCATACAATCCGAAGGTATCGTGGCAGACGACATCTGGAACATGGACGAGACCGGGTTTCGTATGGCAATTGATAGGCACGCCGAACCACTTTAAGGGATTTCCCGGTGATCTGCCGGATCTGGCGATTCGCCGGATTTTGGTATCATTGCATTCCAGCAAAGAACTGAGAATAACTCCACGAATACTATTTGAATTGTTCTAAAATCCCATTCGAGCAATTAATAATGCTAATAGATGCCACTCAATTTATTTTGTAGTCATTCAGCCACCCAGGTCGTCTTCTGTTACGCCCCGATCGCGCAAGTCCCCGAAATGCGCCCACCATACGGGCGACTGTAGGCCAGACTGTCTCAAAACACATTTTGGGCTGTGGGCACCCCGGGGTTAGATTACCCGATCGGGTCTAAGTGCAACTGGGTAACTTGTATATACCGATACTCTTCTATTAGCATAGGGCATTGAAAGAAATGAAAGTAAGCGTTCGCTCTGCGCATTGGTACACATTTTCAGTGCTTTTCTCCTTCTACGATATCATTGAGCCCGAATAGCGCTTTACTCAGTTAAACAAATATGCCTCGACCACAAATTGATCTTTCCACAGTTCAGGAGGAAATCACCGGCTTGCATCGAGATGGATCCTCTATTAATACAATCCGTACGCATCTTCTCAGACTTGCAAATAGATAAATCATAATCAAATCAAATCAAATCAAATCAAATTTATCCAAATCAAATCAAATCAAATTGCCCCTGCGCTGAATCAAATCAAATCAAATCGCAACATCCAAATTTATTTGGATATCTGATTATTTGGATACGCCCCACAATGGCGACCTGGGCCAATAATTTTTGGGAGCCAGCCCTGGCCCAGAGCGGTCGCTTATCACTGGCAGTTGCTTTTCCAGGCCGTGTCACTAAGCTTTCTTTTTGCGTTTTACCTGACACGTTTGATCGTGAAATATATCTTTGGGTGCGTCTGCCATATTACGGGGGGAAATATTTGTAGCCGGTGGCCAAAATGGGACAGCCCTGCACTTGACTGCAATGGCGCATACAGCAGAAGGCGAGGCGCTGTCAGCCGCCCTTTCTAGTGTCCCGTCCACTAGTTTTAGCGCTCCCGAGAGCTCCCCCGACCTTGACACATCACCTTCGATCGACTACGTTGGATATGAAGGCATCGATTGGAATCGCCTCTCGGGTTTCTCCATACGCAAGTATAGAAAAAGAGCGCGGACGGGATGGGTATGGGAGCATGGGTTCGATGTCGAGAAAACCGATTCCGGTCATCGGTTTTGGCTTTGCAAGGCCTGCCACGGGAAGAAGGCTACAATTACCAGTGTGGCTAACAATCAAGCTCGAACTTGACAATTCTCAATCAAGTTTGACTTTTCGTCAAGTCAAGTTCTCAAGTCAAGTTAGGTAGTAGTCATCAATCAATCGAGTTCAAGGAGTGTCAAGTCGTCAAGTACTTGACGCCACATGGCAAAGAGAGGACTACCCTAGATCGGGAAGTAATCCGCCAATTACATCGCTTCGAACAACCCTTCCCTGCATTTTTACTTTCTTGGCACGCAAGTGTTAAGGAAGTAGCCTATCCATAAGGGATTTTCCGGTGATCTGCCGGATCTGGCGATTCGCCGGATTTTGGGCTCATTGCATTCCAGCAAAGAACTGAGAATAACTTCACGAATACTATTTGAATTGTTCTAAAATCTTATAAGAGCAGTTAATAATGCTCAAAGATGCCACTCAATCTTTTTGAAGTCATCCAGCCATCGAGGTCGTCTTCTGTTACTCTCCGATCGCGCAAGTCCCCGAAATGCACCCATTGCCTCCCGATCACTATCAACAGCTAAAGAGGGCCTTTGAGGACAGGATATGTCGTTTGAAGTTATCATTGCCTTATTATTTGCGTTATTATATAGTGTGTTTGGTACCTGCAATGCTATGGCCCGCTCTGGTGTGAACGGAAGAGTGACAATTTTTGCAGCGTGAACATCCTGACTCCTCTCGCGACCCTCAGAAGCCACCCGTCGCTCATTCTGCATTTTCTGTGGCTTTTCCACTTTCAAAATCTTCAGCTCTTGTTAATAATGCCAATTTATCTCCTTATTTTGCTTCACGGCCTCCGTCATCCGTCGTTTTCTCCCAATTTCCGCCTCTCATTGCTTCCTCTTCTCTAGAGCGAGAGCTTTTGCTCCGCTGCCTTCTGCTGTCGCTGAAGCTTTCGGGCCTCCTTCTTCAGAGCCTCCTCTTTCTTTTGGAGTCCTTTCACTGTCATTTTTTGGCGAGCTTGAGCCACAATTTTAGAGCTAAACACCTCGTCTGCACTAGAATCTGTACAGCAGAAGAGATCATCTTTGAAGCCTTACCGGTCTGCCTGCGCTGGTTCTTGTGACTACTTGTTCTCTGCATACTTTAACTCTCATATCAAGCACTTAAAACTCATATTGAGGGCTCCCGAGGGTGCTGCTCAGCCTTCGGCTGTTGCGGCCAGCATCAACAGAGGACTTCTCGACTACTTCCTGAAATGCGTTCCAAAACACAGTCTAGATCTTCGATTTCAGCAATCCAATGAACCTTTTGATTTGTCTGTGTACTGGATAAGATCATGCGTATACGCTGTTGAGAGAGGCTGAATAACGATACATCAAGGGTTGCAGCCGATGAATGGATTGAGGGGAAACACCACAACGATCACTCGGTGCCGGTCACACCACTCCATAAATTCGATACTAAAATGGTTAAGTGGCCATCGGGAACCAAAGGCGATAAGCACAACCGTTTCGAGCTTTCACCCTGGTAAACCGGTCGAACGTACCGGTGAGCTGCTCATTTCCAATATTGTGATTCGTCCACCTCGTTTTTGACGTGTTAAAAATATTTATTGACGACTTGATTCACGTTTCACGAACCAAAAGTCCAGAGTTTGTGCTGGCTTGTCTTGGTGGATGAGAAATGGGGCAGCGATGCCATCTCTTGACTGACGCACATCTTGAACGTAAGGGAGGATGGGTTGCCATTTTTTAATACGCCGAGCAATTTTGCCTTGTTTTCTTATAATAAGAGGAATACCCTGTTCGTTCAAATGCTCATAAGGAATAGAAAGCCCATTTCATCCATGTTATACGTGTTTTAGGGTAGGGTGTCGAATTTCTCAATTTTCGTGCACGTCTTTCCTTGTCAGGTGTGAAAGCGGAGCCTCGCGCACTGAATTTCAAGCTAAAAATAAACCTTACATTCAGATGCATAGATAGGTTCTTTTCAGAAGATGCTTGTACCGTCGAATCACGTTCAATCTGGCTCATTACGGGTGCGTAGAATGAAGTTATCCAGCTCGCCCTTCCAACCCCATTTTTTGCAGTATCCTGAGCCAAGTTCTGCACTATGGATAGAATGGGGAGAATCCCACATGATTAAAGCCTACGATGAAAGCCAATAATGTTCTGTTTTGCTGTATTGGCTGAAATGACTTACACAATCTGTCGGCATCCTATTTTGGCCGTTGCTTGGTTTGATGTCAGCACCGCAGCGCATTGCCCCTAGATAAAAGTTCTAAATATATGCCAGACTTTCACTGCTTCTGATGATTCAGGAAATCAAAGGATACGTCAATTGGCACCGTTGTTGTTGAGCTATTGTCGATTGATGTTGAGCGTGCGAAGTCGCCGCAATCCGGCAGATCACCAGATCCGGCAGATCATCGGAAAATCCCTTACAGCTTTTCGCTTAACAGTGCTCTTGAAAATTCCGCAACAGCGCCGCGCAAAGCGCCGGCAGCGGCCATGGCACCAGCCTCAGGTTCGCGCGCCGCTCCCTGTGCTGTCGACATACAATCGCCACCTGATCTAGCAGCCCGTGCATCTCAGCACCTACTGTCCTCTCCGGCGGAGGCTCGCCCAAATGTCTCAACCCTGGCGGCTCAGCAGCTCCTCGACCGACGTCTCCCAGCGACACGCCCAACGCTGCCGTCGCGGAAGGAACGCAGCCGGAAATAATCCCGAATGGCCCTGGTTCGACCGGGTCCACGGAAAATGCACCTGTCTCCATCATCGAAGCGGCTACAAAGATCGCTCGCGACCAAACGGCAGCCCATGATGCCAAGCTGGCAGTCTTTCGGGCCTTTAGCGAATCATTCGAACAGACAGCCAAACAATTCACGTCCGGCTCCCACAATAGCATCGCAAAGCAAGTTGCCACCAAGTTTCTGAACCTCTGACTCAATCGCTCGCCGACCTTGAGGAACCACCGAAACCTACGTACAGCAGCGTTCTCGCATCCGGCAAAACGACACAAGGACAGCTGGCCATTACGGCCTCCGCCCCACCACAGCGAAAACAGCAAACCACCACTCGTCTCAAGGACGACCGCCCGTGGTCCCACCAAGGAAGACCTGCGTGTCTTTGTCCGACTTGACGCCGATGCTCCGGCCCGAAACCATGAAAGATACGCTATCCGGGCCCACATCGCCGCTAGAGTCGGCATCGACCTACGCCGCATCCCGGCAGCCTTCCCGGTAAACACGGGTTGGGCCATCCTGGCATCGGATGTGGCCACGCGCGAACTACTCGTGCAGCGACAGGCGGATTGGGCCGTAGATCTGGACGCGACGGCCGTAGAGATTAGCCAGAAATGGCATTCGTATGCCGTAGCCGATTGCCCCGTAGGCTCACGGACCTACGCGGCGTTGAGATCAACTTCGATGAGGCGGTCAAAGAAGAAATTGCCTGCCAAACCGGACTGAAGCCCATCAGCATACGGACCTCGCGACACGACTCGGGCGATATGCCTACCAAGACCCTTATTGTATCCTTCCTGGAACCCACGCAGAGACCCTGGCGACTGTTCGGCGCCAGCCGGTTCGCCCGCTATATCGACAAGCCCAGCATTCCTAGCCAATGTGACAAGTGCTGGGATTTCCACGCTCGACACAGCTGCGATCGAACGGCGCGCTGCAGGCGTTGTGGCAAAACCGGCCATCGTAGCCAAGAATGCACCGCCCTCGAGCAGTGTGCAAACTGCCTTGGACCCCATTGCGCGGATGACCCCAATGCCCTGCCCGCCCCAAGCGCGTTCACGGCATGGTCCGGCGCCTGACGAAGGAGGAGAAGAGCCTGGTACGGCAGATGGGAGTTCAGCTCTCTGCGCAGCAGAAGCGGCAGACTCAAAGGCCAGAGTGTCCGACCAGTCTGATCAGAGCCCTGGCAGGCCGCAGATACTTTCCTTGGAGTCAACGGCGCCGCGGGCAGCTGGAGGAGATGGAAGCTCCGACATGGGCGCCATTTACGAGCCAGCCGCGCCGTCAACCCCATGCATCGTTGTGGCCACAACGCCGCCGCATGTAAGGGACGGCGACCAGTTCCTCCCTGTCGTCCCATCGAAGAAACGACGCACTAGTCCTGTGACGCTACCCTAATGCCTCGCTGTTTTCCACGCAATCGAAGCGATAGGAGGATCTTGCGAATCTTCCAAGCCAACGTAGGCAAGATTCCGCCGGCACACGATTGTGCCCTTGCGTTGGCCGACTCGGAACAATACGACATTATTTTGTTGCAGGAGCCATGGACAGGACTGAAAGATGGCCGATGCCTCACTAAGACGCATCAGGCCTACGACACCTTCTCACCCGTCAACGACTGGGACGGCCGCGACACTCGCCCGAGAGTCATGACATACGTCCGGCGTTCCGCAGGTCTCGTCGCTGATCAAAAGAGACCTGCGGCGACTCGTGACATCCTTTGGCTCACCGTCAACGGCATAACAGTCGTCAACTTCTATCGGCAGCCGTACCACGACGGAGCCCTTGAAATCTTGCTTCAGTGGACCGTACCGGACAAGTGTCTTGTTGCTGGTGATTTCAATGCCAAACATCCCAGCTGGCAGGCCGGTCGACGAGAGGACCGCGGCGAAGAAATAGCGTTTTGGGCAATGGACAATCGACTCGGCTTACTGAATCCTGTCGATGTCCCGACCAACGCACACGGCAATACGGTTGATCTCGCCTTCTGCAACATACCTCTGGCCGACGCTGTTGTCGAGGATCATCTAGCAACCGGCTCCGATCATTTTACCCTTAGTATCACGCTGCCAGGACAAGTTCTGGCACCCCTTCCAATAGGAAAGATCCATCTCAACTCCGACGAGGAATTGAAGCGATTCATTGAATTAGTGGAGGCCGGTGCCGCCTTCATCCCGATCACCACGGCATCTCCTTCCGAGCTCGACAGCTTTGCGTCGGCGCTCGTGAACCTTCTTGGTTGTGCAGCCAGAGCTGCCGGTCGACCTGCCCGTAAGACTACGCATGGTGCGCGGTGGTGGACTGAAGAATGCGCAAAGGCGGCGGCCAATTACCGCGCGTGGAGGAGAGTTCACTCTCGGCTTCGACCGAGAAGTACAGCTAGCCAAGAGGAGCTCCATAGCGTGGTGCGCCGGGCCAAGCGCCTTTACTGGCGTAACTTGATTGACAGCTTCACCGATAGCGCCTCCGTCTTCAGGGCGGTCCGCTGGCTGAAGTCTCCAGGTCCGTTTCAAGCTCCTCCTGCAAATTGACGACCGAGTGTATGAGACGCAGCTGGAAAAGGCCACCGCCTTGCGACAAGCCACTCTGGAACGGCGCACGGCGAACGACGACATCCCAGATCCGTGGATCTCCGTGAACACAGATAGGACGATACCCTTCACCGACCGAGTCTCCGGAGGAGACCCGCGACGCCACGCTACGCACCGGGAATACGTCCCTGGTCCCGACAATATTACGGTGCGGATGCTCCGCGCTGTCTGGCATGCGATCGGAAGTCTCGTCCACCAGCTATATCAAGGCTGCCTCAGGATTGGCCACCATCCGAAGCCCTTCCGAGAAGCAGAAGTGGTCATGATTGCAAGCCGGGGCGCAGGGATCTCTACACCCCGCGCTTGGCGCCCCTCCCTTTTGTCCTGTCTCGGCAAGGGCCTCGAGCGGCTCATCGCACGGCGTCTAGCGTGGGCCTCGGTCCATTTCGGCGTACTACACCCACAACAAGCCGGCGCGCTCCCGAAGAGATCGGCCGTGGATCTCGTTGCTGCCTTGATTCATGACATCGAGGAGGCATTTGCCTGCAAGCAGGTTGCAACATTGGTGACTTTGGACATTCAGGGCGCCTTCGACACAGTCCTCCGCAACAGATTGATCCTTCGCCTACGGGAGCAAGGGTGGCCACCGAACCTCGCGCGATGGGTCGGCTCGTTTATGCAAGACAGGTCGGCACGCATCCGCTATCAAGATATCGCAACGAATTCATCGCCTCTCCAGTGCGGGCTGCCACAGGGATCGCCAGTCTCGCCGATCCTCTTCCTACTGTATACGGAACCAATCTACCGCTTGGGCAGCTCAAAAGGGCGTTTCGGCTATGCGGACGACACTGCCATCCTTTGCGTCGGCGATAGCCTGGATGAGACGTCCGCCGAAGCATCTCATCATGTGCGTGAGCTTGTATCGTGGGGCGCCGCCAACGGATCTCCTTCGACCCTGAGAAGACAGAAGTGATGCACTTCTCTCGAACGACGCCCAAGACGGCGCCGCCAGTGCTCCATGGCGAATTTGAGAAACGGCCGGGCCGGGCGATGCGTTGGCTCGGCGTCTGGCTCGACAGCACTCTGTCTTTCAAGACTCATGTCGAGAAATGGACGGCCAAAGCGCAAGCAGTCGCCTTCCATCTCAGGAGACTGACAAACACCAGGCATGGTCCTCTACCGAGCGCTGTGCGACGAGCGGTCTGCGCTTGCGTCATTCCAGTGCTGCTCTACGCGGCGGAGGTCTGGTATCCTGGTTCTACGCGCCCGCGCTGGACCAAGCCGGGCAAGGAAGGACCGTCCAGGATCGGACACCTCGTAAAGAAGATGAGCAAGGCACTCTACACATCTCTTCGGGCTATCCTGCCAGTGTGGAGAACTACACCAACGAATGTTCTGCACCGGGAGGCAGGGATACCGCCGGTCCCTCTGCTGCTCGAGGCGCGCCGGACTGCATTTGCTGCGCGTCTCAAATCCCTGGACGAAGCTCATCCGCTCGTGAAGCGCACGTCGAGGCCAAAAGCCCCTATACTGAATGAAATGATCAAGCTGAAGTACCAAAAGCAGCCAAAACCCTTCCGGACTAGGCTGCGGCGCTCCGACGAATTGCTACCAAGCTGCCCAAGGCCTGCCTTGCTGCAGCGCGGATTTGTCGAAGAGCAGACTGCGCCTCTGCAGAGTGCATCGAAAAATGAGACGGCGAAGAAATTTCGCGATTGGCTCCAGGCACTATCGCCCCGAACTCTGGTCGTCTATTCCGACGGGTCCCGTTCTACCGAAGGCCACGCCGGATATGGCTATGTTGTTCATCGGGACGGATCCACCGTCTTGCGCGACAAGGGCCGTCTCGGGCCCGCCGAGATTTTCGACGCTGAGGCGAAAGGTGCGTTGGAGGGGTTGAAGGCTGCGGTGAGCCTTCCAGAAACTGACCGCATCTTTGTCTGCCTCGACAACCTCGCGACCGCAACATGCTTACGGGCACGCCGAGCGACTCCTCGCAAGAGGTCTTCCTTGAGTTTCAATCTTTGGCGCGAAAATACGGAGCTGTGGAGGTCCATTGGATCCCCGGCCATGCTGACATCCCAGGCAACGAGGAGGCTGATGCTCTGGCAAAGGCGGAGCATCACTGCCAGAACCCGCTGATAACGTCCCGACGCTAGCGCACCTGCGAAAGATTGCCCGACAGCAGCCGGAAGAGGCTTTCAAGGCCTGGTGGGAAGCCTCTGCGCCGGAGCGATACAGAGACCTGAGGCTTAAAGCCACAACCAGCTGCCCGTCAGAATTGGCGCTCTCTCGGCCCCTGCTTCGTAACTTGCTTGCAGCAAGAACCCACCATGGGGATTTTGCTGACTACCACGAAAGGTTTGGTCACGACAATGCGCGACTGACGTGCTCGTGCGGAAGACGAAAGAGCCAGCACACATCTTTTACTGCAGAAAGGTTGCGCCACGGCATCGTATGCGGCTTGCACCTTGGCCGGCTGCAGCCATCAACCGCGCAATCGGCAAGGACTTTGACAAATTCGTCAGGCTGGCGAAAGCGAGCTCCTTCTTCGGAGGGATCTGCCCACGCCACTAGACGGTCATCATTCTCTCTCTCACCCTACCTTTCCTCTCAATCCTTTCTGTTACCTGCTCCGATCTCGGGCGGCGTCAAGGTCTCGCGACCATGCGATCGCCGAGGTCATCAAGGGCTGCAAGGCCCCAGAAGCAAATTGGCTGATCTGACCACGGGACAGCTTTCTCTTCATGCCTGGACGTCCCGCTGACGGGCAACAGGTTTGTCATGAGCGCCGTTGAGCCGATGAAATGCTGGATAGTGGGTGAAGTGTACGATATGTAGCATGTAGACACCTGCTAGCTCAGCACGTCCTGTGCTCCCCTGCGGAGACCTGAGCGACCAAAAGTTGCTGGACGGAAAATACACTAAACTAAACTAAACTAAACTAAATTATATCGCTTCGAATCGTGGGATTCGCCCTCAAATATTGTGGGGCCGAAAGTGGTTGCTTAGCGCGCATTAGGCGTAAGTGGGCCCGCGCGGGGGCCCCCAAACCGTCCCAACACAAGCGAAAATGAACCCCACTCTTATCACACCAAACAGCCATCAACAACGCGTCAATTCGACGCGTGATAACGTTGCCACACGCGTTCCGGGGGGCCCAAGTCGGTCATTCAGCACTCCAAGCTCCAAAAATTTTGCGCGGGATTTCTGCACCGCGAGTGCCTGTACCAATTACCGGATTAGGCATAGTACATCAAGTACTTGACAAGTTGTCAATCAAGCTCATTGACTGGTCAAGTCAAGTTTCAATCGAGTTGGACATACCTTCAATCAATCAAGTTCGATGGTCGAAATTGAACTCGATTGATTGTTAGCCACACTGACAAGGGGTATGGGCGGATTAAACCGGAGAATATCGTGAATGTCGCCGAGGGCGGTATGATGTTGGCTTTGGTGAGCGTTTGACTTGCCGTTCATTATTCCAACTAACCAGCGTCTTTTCTCCAGGTTTGGAAAGTCTTGTGGTTTGCAGTACAGACCCAAAACGGAAGGCCCTGCTGAAGGGACCACAGTCCCGCAACTAGACCTCATTTATCGAAGCCATCACTGCGGATGGCCGTGCCCTTACTCCTGGTATCATTTTCAAGGGCAAAGAACTCCAGAAAGAGTGGTTCGTGACGGAATTCGGCAAAATTGCCGACCGGAATTACATTACCTCGCCGAACGGATGGATGGACCACCTGTCGCTATTGAGTGGCTTGAGAGAGTCTATTTGCCTGAGACGCAGCCTGCCGATGAGTCGGTGCTAGGCTGATCATATTAAATGGACATGAAAGCCATGAAACGGTGCGTTTCCGTATTTATCTCCTAGAAATCACTATTAACCGGGACCAGGATGCATGGATGGCCACGTGCGTTTTGAACAACGTCTACTGCTGTTACCTTCCTTCCCACTGCTCTCATGGCCTTCAGCCATTGAATAACGGTGTTTTAAAGGCTTTCAAAGCGGCGCATCGGAAATAACTTCAGAATTTAACTTGTCTGACGGATTCTGCCCCCGTTGATAAGGTCAAGTTTATATGCGCCCATGCCAAAGCACGTGAGGTCGGAATGACAGCAAAGAATATGTTGTCCAGCTGGAGGGTCACTGAAATTGGCCAATCTCACGATCCGAGGCATTCCGGCATGCAGATATTCACGCAGATCCGGTAGAGACATCTACAAATTCTGCGCCGCTTTTGGCTCCTGATGATACACCCAAGAACCAGCCGCCAGATTCGCGATTTCGAAAAGAACAAGGCTCCTAGCACTCGGATGAGTTACGCTGTGATCACTAGAGGCTCTGAAGCCCAAGAACAAACGGTTGCTGAGCACAGCAACAGAATTGCGAAGCTGGAGGCAGAAGTGGCCCGGCTGCAGAGAAGCAAGAAGAGGAGAGCGAATCAGAACGCGAACAGACGTTTCATGACTCTCAGTGAAGCTTTGTGGCCCAGGAAGCCATTCCCAAAGTAGAAGTCAAGAGATGCCCGTTGTGCCGAATTCTGCGATCGAGGAGGAGGTGGTCTCGGAGGTGGAGTCAGCTTCAGTGATGGAAGTCAGGACGGCACCTGAGGCCTTTTGTCACCACCAGATCCGGGAGAGTGGTAAAAAAAGCGCGGTGCAGATAGGAGCGTCCATTTATCTACGGAATGATATATTTTTGGTGTTTATAATCTCGAGTTCTGGTCATATTTCATGTAGTTCAAATGGTAGACTTTTGGTGGAGTTTTTTTCAATTGCGCTACCGAAAGGTGGGTGTTACCGAAAGGGGGGTGGGGCATGGTAAGTGTAAGTGCGTCCACAACGCCGATTCGACAACTACGTGACAACCCTCACGATGACAAGCACGACCCCAACCCCGAACCCCGCCTCTACGAGGAACGACGCCTTCCTCGACCAAGTAAGGGAATTGGTCCAAAATCTCACGATCCCAAAGACCCAATATCAGGATATCGATCCGACCCGATGGGAGGATGAGATCACGCCCAAGAGGAAGATAGAATAGCTGTTATGACATATACCGCACGATTTATGTCAGAATGCGAGGAGAACGTACACCTTCATGGCACTAATATCCTTGAATTCTTCCAGGATCACTTCCAACAGTGGACCGAGGCAACGTGGAGAAAGATGCCAAAGGAATTTCGTAGGAGCTACGTTACCTTTTAAAGAGACGTGGTATCTATACAGGAGAAAAGGGTGACCACATCATCCCACAGCTCGTCTTCCTACAGACGATCGATAACCCACCAGCTTGGCCCGACAACGAATTCATGGTAACCCAATTCGATAAAGGAACGGAGGCCTATACAAGAAAAGAGAGACGACTAACGCAGAACCCTCCCACCTCCAACACGGCGGAGCCATCCACGCCGTCAGCCCCTATTCCGACGCTCCTGCTCCTCCCGCTACGACAATTGCGGAACCGCCCACAACGACTGCTACGCTTCCCAACGAACAATACATCCTACAAGCTATCAGTTCCAGCAACAGAGCATCGTTCTAGCAGAACCTCTTCTCCCACATCCCTCGAAGCGTACACAACGCTTCCCCCGGCCGACATCCCGAACGGCATCGTCGATGCCGACACACAACAGAAATTCACCAAGATCTGGGACAAAGAGAAGAACTATACGGGGGAACCCTATGACCTTCTCGATGATAAGCTACGCATCTTTATGAGTATCTGTTATAACATTCAGGTCAAGCCGGACCAATTCCACGCTCTTTTCCTCGAATCCTTACTGGCCGAGCCCAAACGTACTACATTGACCACATTAACTGGACCTCAACGTTCCGCAAGGCATACGATAGCATCAAGCAACATTTCGATACGGAAGTTAACCACGTTCACTACTATACTGAATGGACGACTATTTCCTTTAACAAGCTCCGTGCCGATAATGCTACGAAATCCCTACACGAGGTTCTTCAGCTACTCCTTGATAAGCTACAGTTATGCCAACGAGCTCTTGGCAACGCGTATGCAGGAAACGTTCCACTGCGTACAACGCTTATTAATGCATGCCGCGGTGTTCCTGAACTTGAATACGCTTTATTCAAGCCCGCCGAAGGAATCGAGCCCCTTTGCAGATCTGCTCTTCCGTTGAGACCCATCTTGCACGCGGAATAACGCCTCGTTATCTTCAAGGAAGCCCTCAATACCATCAAGACCTCGAGGAACCATCTGATCATATGGATCCCAATGACCACTACTATCTCGATCGAAGATACAACAACAATCGCGGAAGATTTGGTCAGAAGGGGTATAGAAGGTATAGAGGCAACGCTCAACGAGGCGGCTACACGGGGAAGCTTCAATAGTCAACGCTTTAACCGCCCACAAGGCCGTTACGGCCACAACCACCCGTGGAATAAGAAGTGCTTCGTCTGCAATAAGGAAGGATGTTGGTCTACAAAGCACACTGCCGAGGAACGTCAAAGATCCTGAGACCAATACGTCGCCCACTGTCACTTCATAGGATTACCCCTCCCAGGACCTTACAGCCTACGTTCTTGACTTTGAAGGTCACGAGATGGATGCCCACGATGATGCTAACGACCCTGGGACGAGGACGACAATGAAGATAATGACAACAACCCAGAACAGTGGCACACAAGCCAAATGCTCTGCCAGCAAGCCTTCAACCATCTGATCACAGGGGAAGACGTGTATAGCACCTCTCAAAACAACGCTACACCTGCTTCCCAATTCATGATAGAGGAGCGCTACTCAAGACTCCGATTCCAGGGCATCATAATTGACACAGGCGCCGCGAAGGTCTCCACAGCTGGCTACGACCAATGCATCGCTCTACAACGAGAAGACCCTGCTATAACGCTCGATAAGACTACAGCAGGCCAAGCTTCTATCAAATTCGGCAACGGCGAAGCCATTCTATCCCTCCGGGATGGCTCCGGACAGACAGGTTCGGACAGACATATTGCAGGGATTATCGCGCTAAGCATGGGTTAAAAGCCATCGCGCCTTGACTAAGGGATTTTCCGGTGATCTGCCGGATCTGGCGATTCGCCGGATTTTGGGCTCATTGCATTCCAGCAAAGAACTGAGAATAACTTCACGAATACTATTTGAATTGTTCTAAAATCTTATAAG